CAAGGGAAAATGTTTCTACCGTTAGAGAGGCTTTAATCATCTGCAGGCCACTGGTGTAGAAAGCAGCATAAAAAGGAAACAAAAAAAGGAAGAAAGAAAAGGAAACCGTGTTTACAAGTGATTTGAGAATAACTCTCTTTTGAAAGTAAGTCTCTAGGTCCATTAGGAAATTTTACATTCTGTGTGTTGCCTCGCTGGCGTGTGCTGCAAAGAAATTACTTGGATTAACTGAGTAGCTCATTTTAACTTATAAAGAATTTTTAACCCATTATTTTTCATTTGTTCTTCAGGGTTTAATACTGTTGTGAAGTCATTTTTTTTCTGGATAGATTTTGTTTCAAGAGCGATGTTCTACCTAAGCAGGTGGCCTTCTTAGATGCTGTAAATGTAAGACCAAGCCCTCTTTTCATCAGTTTTCTCCTGTTTCTGGGTCTTCCTGTCACTCAGCCATGGTTGAAACTCCCATCACATATTTGTTTCTTTGACTTTGACCCTGTAATTTGCTTTCTCATGGTGGTTTTGCCCCTGGTTTCTAGCCCAACCATCCCTATAATCATTTTTGTTTTCTCCTCCTCTGTGTGGGATCCAACCATTCCTCTCAGATGTTCCTCTCACACTGCTGACAACTATGGTACCACTTCCACCACAGGACTAACCATCGTTTTTCTTTATACCTCTCTACTTGGAAATCTCTTACTTAAAATTAATAATTGCTTACTTAAATTTAATAATTTAATTAAACCACACTCTGTCACTTGATGTAATTGCCCCAAGGTGCCAGYTGGGGAACATCAGTGCTCAGCTCTGCTCCCGAGAAGCTGCAGAGCCAACTCCCTAGTTCTGTCCAGCTCTGTAAAGCAAAGAGCTTAATTCATTACTTACCTTGCACGAGCATTAAGATAATTTAAAGAACATATGAATCACTCTGGATACTTGTAGCACCACATATGAGCTTTTGCTGGCAAGTGGATTGTCTCTGAGTTAATTTTGACATTTTGAGAGAGGCATATTCTCCAGTAAGAGCCAGTAAATCTTGTAGTTTGGCTGCTAAGAGCACTTAAATGGGCTAGCTCTTCCTCCTTGTGGATAGAAACATGCTAAGATRCAAGAATCCTGGAAGATTTAACTCTGGAATGCAGAAGGCAGCGCTATGTAGTGAAATTCATTTCGGATTTCAAAATTCCTGTTGTTCACAAGGGGGTTACTAACTTTGGGCCATTGCTCTGCCAGCGTTGACCATGATCTAAAGCAAGGAGGAATTTAAAGGCTTGCAAGCCCCAAGGAGCTGTAGAAAACAAGCTTTCTGGCACAACCCAAACCCCATTTTTCCACTAGTTGAATGTTACTGCAATAGCTTGGTACTCTCAATGACRGGCTCAGGAACAGGACAGCTGCATTACTAAAACAAACACTGTTTTATGATTCCCTAAATCTGACTATTTTTCAAGCTGATGTGCTTAGCAGCTTTGCAGAGGAACCCGCTTCCCCCGGCTTTGTGCTTTTTGCATTCCTGTGATGTGCCGAGACTTGCATATCCCATGAATGTGCCACTTGCACTGGGCTCTGCACAGCAGGAAAATGTCAGATGTCGGTATTTGGGGATCTTGAAAGGGCTGGAAAAAAAGGCAAGAAAGGGGTCTGTGGGTGAGGATTAAAATCTTCAAATACCTGTGGTTATAAGATAGGGCTCAGTGAATGACAGTGCCTGGGAAAGTCAATTCCGGTCAAGCTTCTGGGACTGTGCAGTCCCAGTACATAAATATATATATATATATATATAGCTTTGAAAGAAGTAGCTTGATCTAGTGGATAACGCGCAGGCAGGGGRACGAGGGACCTGGATTCTTCATTCCTCTGGCCGTGGCTTTTCTGTCGCTTGCCTACCTTATTAAAAAAGTAAGCCTAGGGCAGCAGATTGTCCCACTTGGTGCTAGTACAACGTAATGGGGTCCTGACCTTAACGGGGGCCTCTGGGTGCCTCTGAAATGCACACAGTAATAGCAGCGGTGACCTGTCCCATATCCTATTATTCCAAGAAGCAGCTTCAGGAACAAGAAACAATTTCTACCCAGAAATGTGGTGGAAATGATCACTAGAAACTGGGGTGATAGTTTATTTTCCTTCCCTTTTGATCTCTGCAGTACAGAAACGTTGCTTTTCAGAAAGCAAAGTTTGGCTTCTCAAGTCCAATAGTGCTCCCCAAGCTATTTAAGGAGATTTGTGTGTAATACCCATCCTAGCCATTTTTATGGACTTTTTGCCCATTAAATTTTAGATCTTTTATGCATGTAATGAGAGAATCAAAATATCATTCGAAACAAGTTGTTAAGGCGAGGACATATGTAAAATGGCAGCAAAAAGGAAGAGTGGAGAGCAGCAGAAGTCATCTTCTGCAACTGCAGCATGGGCATCCCACTTCTAGGATGGAAATGTTCCCTGGTACCAAAATGGTACCGACAGCTGGTGCTGTGCAGGTGGCAGAGCAGCAACYGTGGGAGATTTAACCCTCTACCAGGAAAATAATCCCACCGAACAGCAGGAAAGCAACGGGCTCCTTCAGAGGACTYTCTGATTGCAGAGCTTTAAGAATGCCGAGGCTCGGGAATTTACTGGCGCTGTCATATTATCAGTTCCTAGACACTATTAGCAGAGACAACTTACAAATGGTTGGGCTAGTAGCCTAAAGGAATTGTTGGCCTTTGCCAAGATAGAGAGAGAGTTATGTAGGAGCTGCAGTGAATCAGTCACTGCAGTGTGGAGGTGTCAGGATGGATGATCAGACTTTATTCTCTTTCTAGAAATGCAGTAGTGCAATGGGAAAGGAAAAAAAAATATAATAACACGTTGACCACTCGTTGCCTGGAGTGATAAGCAGCAGCCTCACAAAATTAAACTAATCAAGTGAATAGGAGGATGGTGCTGACAGCATATTCYGGCTTTGTTTAACATGGTTCACAATAGATAAAGACATTCAGATGGTACAAAAATGGGTGGAAAACCATTCTCTAATACGTAATATTTATGGTCATTGGAGAAACTGGGGCTCAGGTGGAGGGTAATTTGKAGTACATCTGATTTTCAGGTCAAAGAAGAATAATTTTATCTATCTGCATGATRAAATTTGTGGCTTTATTTTGTTGCATGGCAATATCAGAGCTAGTTGTCTGGATGAGATATAACTCACCTCTTGGGCAGATTTGCTCCAAGATTGTAAGAGATGTTGCCAAACACAGATGATAATATGCAGTTGATATGGAATCCTATTAATGCTTTTCAGCTGTGTGCACACAGAAGTTAACCAGGGAGCTCTAATGRCCTGGGAAAGCTGATGGACACGACACACAGCAGATTTGTAGAGTGGCCACGTGCTCTGCAAAGACAGTTTTTGCCTGGTTTAATACTGAGCTTGCTGTGGTAAACTAGATCACCAGCTCAGCTTTAGGGAAAATGAAACTGTATTTTGATCATGGAAAGTGGTTAGTTGTCTTGCATTTGTGTTTTATTGTTTTATATTTWCTCCCCATGATATAATGGAGAGGAGGATGTTCTACTTTGCTCAGGATCAAGCTGCGTCCTRCTGCAGTCCATTGGCTCAGGCTGATGCTGAGGACACATTAGGAAAGCCCTACATTCACTTTCTTGATTTAATCAGGGAAATCATTGGGAATCATCTCTGCAGACAGAGATTTTCTGAATCACATGCAGATTAGCAAGTGGAAAGTGGTCACAAGAATAACCCAGGGAGGCTTTCGGTTTTCTCACCAAAACCTTGGCTAGGTTTAATATCATGTCCCCAAACACTTCATGAGCAGAATTGATGCAGTTTTTCCTGCAGGTCAACAACACTGAGGGGTAGAAGAGCAGAGCATGACAGTTTTCTGATGTCAGCTCTCTGTTTTCACCACTGATTCCCTTTTCCTACCATGTTCAAACTGCAGAGGAAGATTTGCCTGAACTCAACAGTTAGGCTAAAGCCCAAGATCAGGCTGTGATCCCATGTAACATGAATCCCTGTAACTCCATCAAATTCAATAGCAGTGTTTTGCAGGAGTTAAGTTTACTAGGAATGTAATAAAAAATAGAGTCATTTAGTCTTGAGAATAGCCATGACTCAAATATTGTGGGCCTTTCTAAATCAAATTCAGCGCCTTAAGCTATATCTGGAAAACAAAAAAATCTGTACAGCAATAACAAAGTCAGCAGACCCATGGTTTATAATAAGCACTATGAGGGGGTCCCTGCAGCTGAGAGGAGGGCCACATTCAGCTGTTACTGGCGGGGTAACAAAACCTTGAGGTCAGATCACGACAAGTAAGTAAAAGAGGAAACGCTTTACAAAAAATTTTATTTTTAGGTGTGTAGGTTGGACTTTTTATAAATATACATATGTATAAATATATCAAGTGGTAGAAATCATCTTCTCTGGCCTAGACTGGAGAAGAACTCCTGCATGGAATACGTTASATGGTGCGGAGGATGCTCTGTGGGTTGGATTAACACTTGTAACACGTATAATTGTAATTGCATATTTACAAAAGCCAAGACTGTAGTATAGTGAGAAGTAGCAATGCATCCTGATTTTAAAAGGAAAAAAAGTGTTTTTGCAAAACCATAATGAGATGTATCCCTGCAAACTTTTGCATTCGCTATTTCAGTGAGTAAGGATTGTACCTTCACTTAAACTACTTGAGATGATAATTGTAACTGTTATTAATCCCCTTGCTTCTGGATGTGTTGAATGCATCAAAAGAATAAATATCTCAGTGCGATGTAATGTTATAAAATATTATTGTCATTGTGTTACACTGGGCTTTGTTTTGAAATACGTGGCAGTAGCCACAAAGCAAAGGATTAAGTTAAATGGACAGTTGGTCTGTTGCAATTAGATTGCAAGTTAYGCTGTCAGACTTTCAAATGAACGTTAAAACTGAGTCATTTCAGGATTTTTTTCCTACAAGTTCTCTTTTTTTCTCCTCCTTCCTCTTCCTTCCTCTTTCAAGGAGCTTCCACCCAGAATTCCAATGCAGTGGAGCCAGAAAAGCAAGTTGACAGCACAGTGAAAATGGCTGGAGTTATAGCTGGTCTTCTGATGTTTGTTATTATCCTCCTAGGAGCAATGCTCACCATCAAGAGAAGGTAAGTTTCTGCTTTGCTTCCATCTTAGACCTGGATGGAGTACAGAATAAATTTGGTAGAAATAAAATACTAAGAGGTCATAGTCACAGGTGACAGGTCTSTTTTCCCAGAAACTGTGAGAGCAGCACAGGACTCGTTGTTGCACCTGAGGGTTAATGATTTGGGCGAAGGAGCAGCAGGTGAAGGTGATTAGGGAGATAAAAAGAGAAAAGGAGGCAGTGGCAGTCAGCGTGTTAGCACAGGAGAAGGCTCAAATGCCGCTGCAAGTTCATGGGGATCAGAGCTTGCAACTAACAGAGCAAAAATAGTGTCTTCTGAAGCGATAGAAAGGGAGGGGATGAAGCATGAAGAGTTTTGAAAACAAAGGTAAGAGCTCATGTTAAGAGACATAAGCAGGTGGAGATAGTGTAGAAATACAGTAAAAGATGGAGGGAGAGAGAATAATGTGGTCAAAACTGAGCAGTATTCAGATTAGAAGCCAGCAGGATAAGTTGGTTTCCTTCAAGGAAGGGAAGTATAGATGAAAGAAGATAGAGCTGAAAACTGGACGTCAGTTTGAGCACATTATAAAGTGAGTAAAACCAGAGAAGTAGGAAACCAGAGATGAGATCAAGAGGGTGAGTGGGATAGTGGAATGACTTAAAGGTACTGGAGAAGGGAGGAAGACCATGGAGGGGACAGAAAATGAAGGAAGAGCTACTGAGGTTGTCCAGTGTGGGCCCAGGACTATGGCAGTAAAGTTGCTAGTGGCATAGGAGCCTCTGAGGACTGAAATACAAGGCTCTGAAACAAGACTTTGTGGCACTGGGCCAGAATTTGACGGAATAGCTTCACAGTATGAAGCAGGTCCTTTTATTCTGCTGCAAAAACAAAACTAAAGAGTGAGAAATACCTCCAAGAAAGGTGGTGAGCTTTTATAAAGCAATCTGAGACCTTCCAATCATCATGCATATATGTGTGAGCGTATGTGAAAAATGGGCATAAAATGGAAATTGAGCAKCTTAGCAGTATGAAGTCTCTCTGTATTTTGTCCATTTCGTCAAGTTGTTTATTTTTTACTTAAAATTTGTTGGTTTTGTACATACAGTTTATATTTATTCTTTTGCATTCTGGCTCGAAGGAGTAATGCAGCTTTGCAGGGACTCTGCATTCCCCTGAAACTGCCTAATGACTACTTACAAAAGGCAATAGAGAGAGGGCTGAAGGAAATTTCGTTCTATTTTATTGTTTTGTTCTTTAATCAAAAGCTTCTGTTCATGCCTAGAGCAGGGTCTTGTTCCCAAGTGAGACTTGATGGCACATATTTTCACACAGCAATTGATTTGCAAGCAGTGTTCAGCGGGGTTGTTGCATCTTGCTGAGGGTTAGCAGCCTTTCTGAGAGTTAGTTTTAGTTTATTGGGGACCAGAACTTTATACAATCATGCACGAAAGAGAAATTTGTTCAAGTAGTTTATTTTGTGYTTTTTTTTTTTCTTTGAACTCTTTGCACTTGCACTTTGTGTAGACCATTGGTAGCTGCTGCTCTTTCAAGAGCTCCATGTTTGCTGGTTAATGCACTATGATTCAGAAACCTGCTTAGGCAAGAGATTTTCTTAATAAAAGGATATATTTTGAATTTATTTCTACTAGTTGGATTTCTGAAGTGAAGCCACCTGTTCAACGTTGATTTACTTCTAGATAAAATGCGAGCTAGCAAGCCAGGGAGCCCYTAGCCTAGGGTGCAGGTAGCAGGCCGTGTGAGTCATCCTGATGACTCTACTGGGTCTGCTGCCAGGAGTGAGGCTTGGCAAAATAAAGCCCTCTTGCCTTGGAATCTCTTGTCTCTGACAAACCACCTCCCTTTTTCCAGGAAAGCAACAGCAGCTAAATCAATATATGAGCGTTTGTGTATTCCTGCAGTTCACGTGTGTGTGCAGAGTAACTTTATGTCTTAGATGCTGGAGGGCAGGACTRCTGCTCGGAAGGATATTGCCAGGCTGGAGAAATTGGGTTGGTAGGAACCTTCGGAAGTCAAATTTAGTCTTTCCTCTGGGATGGATTAGCCCCGTGTTGCAGTACAAGTTGGGAGCAGCTAGGCTGATCTGTGGATGTGGGATGGAGATGTGGATGTGGGATGGAGAACCTCTGTTCTTGGAGATGCTAAAAACTTGCCTGGACAAGGCAACATCCAGCTCAGTTTGAGCTAGATGCAAATATTTCAGTGCTTGTGGACAAATGTAACTGCTTGCACACTTCCTAGCCGTGCTTGTGGTCCCCTTGGTCAATGCTCAGCCCAAAGACTATAGATGTTTCTATTACAGCTTCAAGGAGCGTTTTAGTTTGCAAGAAGGAGAGAAAAAAATCAGATGCTGCTAGTGAAAAGTAGGAAAAAAAGCTTCGGGAAAAATTGATCTGGGTTTCTAGTTTTTGCTTATTGCTCACTACTCCTTCATTCCTGTTGCCTTTAGTAAATGCCTTTTAAGAAAACCTCTCATTTTCAGCTTGGAAATGAAACCTGCAAGGAAAGCAGTCTTGACATGCAAGATGATGCCACATCTAAGCATCCTTGGGTGTTTTGCAGATTTTGGTGTTGATAACATTCTTCATTACTTTCACGCTATATATTACTGTACTGAATCGTGTATAACCCTGAGCAGAAAACAAACAGTGATTTTTCCATGATGATCGAGAATCGATTATTTGGGTGTAATTTTTGAGTGATTTGGCATCCTTAAGTGCTAAGGAGATAATATTCATTTGAGTTAATTGTATAAAATGGGAGGAATTTGGAAGAGCAGACATAATTTCTCAGTGTATGTGTACTTGTAAATGCTTTAGTGGCAATAAATGGAGACATTAAAACACATGAAGGTTGCTCCTGTAGGAGGAGTGTCAGTGATATCTTCTGATCAGAAAAGAAATCTAATAGCCAAATATTCATAGCACTAAGACAATGGATTAATTTGGGGATTTTTCAGGAACAGAACTGGTTGCCTAGCTCCAGCTCATCAGTGATGATGATTTCCCTCTATTTAAGACTTCTTTCTATAAGCCAGTCATGCTCAGTACAGTATCTCCCCTTCGTTGTTCACCAAGGACCATCTTTTCCTGTCATCAGATTTCACATAAAACTTGTTTTTTTTTTCCAAACTGTCTGCCACAGCTGTAAAAAAAATTAATGTGAGACTCTTGCTGCTCAGCAGAGTGATTGCCGCCAATTTAGTTTTTGTATAAGTTTGAGAATAGTTTGAAAATAGAGTTTCTCAGAAGTAGAATTATGGGCAATTAATTTCCTCCAAACATCCTGGAGCAGATCTTTATCATTCTGCTTCTGATGAATGCACCAGCGTGGAAATATCTTGATGCCTACCCTTGATTCATCATCACTGCTTAATCTTCTGTCTTCCATTGGAAACTGGAAAACCAGTAGAAAGCCAGGTTCTCAATAACAAAGTAATGCTGAATGCAAGAGTAAAGCTTCACAGATGACTAAAATGATCCCGATAATTTTAGTGTTAACCTTCCTTTAAAATGAGATCCTCTTTTCAGTTCCCAGAGGCGTTGACATGAGACAGTGCTGCCTTGCAAGGCAACAATGCAGAAAAGTAATTTAATTAGACAAACTTGAGGCATTTCCTTCAAATGGAGCTGAAAAATACCATAGTGACATTTGTTCATGGTCTGGGGCATTATAGCTCCTCAGTGGTGGCCACAGCTTTTCCTGAATGAAGCACTTGGTGGGTCCRTGAAGAGGATGAAGGAAGGAGAGGGAAAGTATGAAGAGGAGGAGGAAACTGGGTTATTAGAACTAGAGAGATTATCAGAAGTTTCCTTTTACCTTTAGGGTTAAAAAAAAAAAAAAATCTTTTTAGCTTTAGGGAGTACCTTAAATTGTTAAATTGGTACGCTTTATTGAGGGGGAAAAAACCCTATATATTTATACATAAAAGGTCCATGTAAGAATTGGTTCCTRTTTCTAAAAATCATATTTAGATATCTTTTTGGCAACTTTTGGGGCCCTTCCTGCTGTTTTATGGGCTTCATTGAAGTATGTAGGGTTAAGTAAGCTGGAATTTTCATGCAGCTGAGAAATTGGATTAGCTCTTTTGTTGTTGTTGTCTAAAAAAAGATTTTAGCTGAAACCCGCTAGGTCACCCAAAGCTTGCTAGCACATTTGTATGTGTATRTGTAAAAAAAGCATGTTTGGGTATAATAAATTTCTGCTCTAACTATGACTAAGTGTCATATGGCATTTAAACTCAAAGCAGTAAACGCAATTTGGAATTTTTCCCCAGTTTTGAGGCCCCAGTAGCTAGACGAGTTATATATTTATGGCACTGATATCAACATCTGGGTATGGACCTGCAAATTGTTGCAGAATAATTGAGCCTGTTAATTTACAGCCTGCGAGAGCTGGTGATCAGTGCCCACATGGGTGCAATTACCCACGTAACTCAAGGCAGCGCAACCTGCTTTCATTAATAGGTACCTACCTCAAAACACCTCCTATTTATTGCGCCAAGGCGTCTGCAATGCTCTGAGGAGCCTATTTGTTTGTCTTTAGTATTAGTTAAATATTTTTGTGCACTAGAGAATAAATGCTTAGCAAATGGTGAAACAAGGGGAAAATAAACAGGCGTTTGGAGGCGTTTTTCCTGGAGGAAATACTCGGATTTCCCTGGGGTGACCAACGTGCTGCTTCTCAGACCAGCGCGTTGGGGAGGACAAAGCCTCTGGTGACCCCTTTAAGCCTAAGACTGAGTAAATAGGATCAGACAGCCTGTCACGGGTGCGCTCTAAATCAGACTTGTTAAACTGCTTTTGGTTGCAAAAAAGGAGATTTAGGCCTATGCAGGGCCTTGGATTAGTTCAGTCCAAGCAAAGTCGGCTCCTTACTCTGGATTAGGGTTTGGGTTGTCACCTGTAACTAATTGAATAAAACCCAACAGCCTCTTAAGCAGATCACACCAGGGTGATAGGACAGAATTACCAGAGGTCTGTGTACATCCAGTGACCACTGTTGCTTGTGTGGCCTTCTGTAAGAAGGWTCTTCTGTCCCCATCATGGGCCATGTTTGCAGGTTACCTGATGCGGTTTTTGGAGCGAGTCACGTTTTCAGTGGTCTGTAACTCTGCCCAGTTTTAACACTTAGCTCTGAAATACYGCTCAGTGAGCACGTACCTCAGGCAGTACAATTGGGGAGAATTTGAGCCAAAATGGCTTGCCCGTTTCCAAAATATGATCCTGCTTTTGTTTGCTGCCTCTTCTTTCCCCTCCTTAGGGAGGTGGTCCTCCCAAGCTTTCTCCTGCTGCCTTGAGGCATAGGCAGGGTTTTAATGAGAGGTGGAGGTCTTGTGTGATCACGTATGTCCAGTGGCTGAGGTGTCAGAAAAGCAGGACATATTACAGGGTGTTGAGCAGCAGGATTGCTGGAGGCAACTGTGGGAAACGTGTTCCCGGCGTATCAGAAGGGCTTAATGGGATGTTTTTGGGTGCATCTRTGTTAGTTTTTGTACGTCCTGGTGATTTTGCTGCTGCTTCAAAGTCCAGAGGAACTCAGGATTTCACAGTAGCCATCTCTGCTTTTTTTATTTCTGTATTGCATGCACAATTCACAGACGGAAATTTTAAATTTTGTGTAATTTTACTGTTGTGTCGTAACTATATGGTGGTCTGCCTAGGCCTTGGACAAAGAGCTTGGGCTAGATTTGGTCTCCAAGCCTGAGTTTTGGGTTTATAGCAAGAGCCACAACCTGGCAAAGTGGACATTGGTTCATTTGTTGTCAGCCATCCTTTCCCAGGAGAACTGTCTTGCTGGGGCAACAAATTAAATATATGAGGAAATGGGGCAGGATGGGTTTTAAATATGAGACCTTAAGACAGGTCAACTGTGTGACCAACCATAAGCTGGGTGGCTGGGCATGGAGAACCCCAGTGGTTCTCCATTCTCATTCAGGCCTTTTCCTGGGTCTGAAGGAGAAGACACCGCATCTTAATCTTCTGCCCTTCTCCAGGTCTCACTTTGTGGTGCTGCTCTGGATCTAAAAAGCGTTTGGAAGCTTATTGTGTGGAAAAACTGTAAAAAGAAATGTTTCATTGCAGCGACAAAGCTGATGCAGAGCTAGTGATCAGCTATAAATATGTAATGTTTCTTGAATTGTTAATAAACTATTTGCAGTTTGGAGTGTGATGAGCCTTAGTTTGGCAGTACACAGTTGGTTTGTTACTCAAGTATTCCAAAATTGTGGCATTTTTCATTGTCACTTTCCTGTTTGTTGTTATTTATATTAATAGCTTTTACATAAAGCTTTCYGTTCCCGAAATGTTAAAGCACTTTATGAGCAATGGTAAGTCTCATTATGCTTGAAATTGTGGCAGAAGGTGACACGAGAAATCAGTAGCAGAAGTGGAAACAGAGCCACGTTTCCCATCTCCAGCTCAGTATCAGTTCCTCAAGCACCAACAGCTGCATGAAAAAAGTGTAGGAGAAAATGCAATAAAAATGGAAGCACAAATCTTTTATATACTGAGAAAATAAGCTAAGAGCTCATATAAATCTAATTATGTATTTTTCTTTCTTTTTTTTCCCTTTTGGATATTTTCTTCATCTGACTGGCTGCCAACATTTAGAAGAAATGCATATTCCTACTCCTATTACTTGTAAGTACCTGGCTTCAGATGATGGTTCCTGAGCATGCTAACTGTTTCAATTTGTGCTTTCTTGCATGCTTTTCTCTTATCATTTTTTTTAAACCATTCCATGTATCCTTGTCTGTCTTCCAGCTTGCACTTTATTTTCTCACTTCACACCTCTTATATTTTCCCTTTTTTACCCTTTTACCCACCTCTGTGCCTGCAGACACCCGTGCAAATGGGCATAGATATGTCAGTTGGCATTTATGGTTCCTCACGTGCTAATGGACAAGTGCAAGCTGTCCCACTCCACTTGCACCCTTTTGGTTGTCTACCATATTTAGCCAGACTGCAGGGAGATTCACACCTAAAAGCTGTTGTCAGGAATTTCTCAGCCTTGGATATAAGCTTTTTAAAAAAACACGTGAGGCTTCTGAACACTCTTGATGCTCTTTTGCTACCTGGGAACCAGGAGTCAATGATTCCTCAGCAAGGAGAAAACTGTTCCTGGAGCTGCCAGATCTGGAGCTGCAGTTTAGACTTTAGGCTCGGGTTTTCAGACCTAAATCACCTCTCTAACCTCATCTAATGCTGCTGCTGCATAATTAGAGCAGTCATTAAGGCACATGAAAATGCTTTGCAGATGACACCCCMAGAGCCAGCTGTTGCCTAAAGGTCTGGAAACGAATCAGGTTCAGACTGTTCCTGCTGTGGTGATAGTAGTCAGAGGATCAGGAGGAGACTKGAGTTGACTTCTTTTCCATGTGAGTTGGTTTGAATAACGGGGTGAAGGACTTAAGTTTAGTCTCCCTGTTTACCTTTTGGTGCGACATTACTTCTTGAGGTGGCAGATCTGAAAATATTAGAAAGAGGCACCTCTTCCATTTGTGGTTTATACAGCGAGCCCAACTGGGCAGTGTCTGAAGTCCACACTAGTGAGACTTGACTCTACTCGGTTGTATAAGTGTAAGTGCAGAGTAACTCCCTTTCTTCCAAGCTTCACACCAACTCACCAAGAGTGGCATTTGACCATCAAAATTTAGAATGATTTCCTTGAAAGTGCAACTAAGTGTTAAACTGGTGGACGCTTTGAACATAGAGGTGCTTTTCCTGCTCACGGCTCTCCTGTGTGTTTCCCAGGGCTGTCACACTGGTGCTGTCTGTGCTGCTACACTGTTTGTCTTTCCTTATGACCAGCCAAGGCCATTGCCTGCAAAACTCAGTCCCCAGCCTTCCCTTCCAATTTTGTCATCTTCCTGCAGGCAGTATATGATCAGATTGTTCCCTGCTTTATTAAATCTAGAGTTTCATGTATTTAAGAACCGTGAATCAAATTCTGAGGCTGTCTGACCCTGTTTTACAACTGAGCCAGTGCTGCTTTAAGTACCCAGCTGAGGATTACTGCTCTACGGAGAAAGTGAGGACGTGGTGGGGCTCTCTGTTCTCTGTCTTACAGTGGGTGGATCACATATGCCAGGACATTTCTTCAGGGATCAGGAGAGTGACTCAAGAAAAGGGAACAAATAAGCTTCTGGAGATCCCCCAAGCCTGAGATTGTAGAGTACGGGCTATATACTGATTCAATAAGGTGRATGTGCATCATGCAGTGTATCACAGCAGGTGGAAATCAGAGGGGCCTCCAAGGCAGGCGAAGGTGTTTGTAGCACCCACCAAAGCACTGAGTGGACATAAGGCCTAAGGCTGCAGAAACCCTGTAACTCTTTCCTCAACAGCCCTCCAACCTTTCTGTGGAGAGGTCCTTAGCAGTTCTGTGCTTGTGGCATGCCAGGTATCCCACCTAGCATGGGCTCTGGGACATCCTTCCAGTAGGGGTGACACCTACAGAGTCATCAGATGATTCCACTTGTGCCTTTCAATATTTGATTCCTGACCCAAGTGTGACCTAATCCCTAATCTGGCAAAACCAAGTGGTTTTCTTTCTTTCTCTGGATAATAATCCATGTTTGAGGGACACTAGTGAAGGAAAAATGCAGGCAAATCCAAAAAGGAGCAGATGATTAAAGTTTAGTTTCACGTTCCACATAAAACGGGGTGTTCTACTGTGATTGCAGATGAAAATCTAAAATTGTGAAGGGTTGCTATCTTAGGCAAAGCTTATAGAAATTGCCAGAGCCTCTTATGAACAGAAAGAGGTTTGATTTAAGTTTATTTGAAGTGTTGTGAAAATAAGAGCAGCAATATGTATATTGTGAGGTTTTTTTAATAGAATTGGTTTCTGTGGTATGACCTCATATGAATGTTTTAGTCCTGAAGCAAATTTGAATTGAATGAGTTATCAGTAGTGAAAAGCAGGTTCTCAAATAGATCTGCTGGCAGACCTTTAAATACAACCATATGGACTACATTGCTTTATTTTTAGCTTCCATTTCTGGACTTCAAAGTTGTGCTGCTTGGAGTAATTCTTTTCTGCTTTCAGATAATTCCCCTTAACTCTTTCTCACCTGCTTTGCTGTCATTTTTTTCTTGTTAGGGAGCAAAATTGCTTGCATTTGGTTTATCTCCAGGAGGCTGATTCTGTAAGATGGTCAAGTATCTGCGAGTCCAGAGAATCCAATAAACAAAAGCAAAACACTTATAAATAGAGAAGCTTCATGCTACTTTGTGCTTATTGAGTAAACAATACGGGATTTTTATACAGTAACGTGTCATTAAAATTTGCCTATGGTAAAGGAATATTATGGTAGTGAATATCTATAGCACCGATTAAGTGGAAATACAAACCTAGGAAGCCTCTTTTCCTATCTTGGGCAGCATGTGGGGTCCACATCATTTTGTGCACCTCAGTTCACCTTCATTAAGCTAATTGCAGAGGCTCTGACAGAACTTGCTTTACCTGGGGCAGGACCCGCTCTACCTGTGTAGGATGTGCAGGTTAAATCCCCCTCCCTTTGAGGAGAAAAGAAAATGGGAGCTCTCGATGCACCAATAACCAAGCTGAGGCTGGAAACAACTCAAAGGAGTTACTCTATATTTGTGCTGAGATTTTTGCCTGATTTCTACAGAATTGCTTGCTCTTTCACRCTGCATGTGAGTTTAATATGTTGTAAAATGCAGTTTGGTGTTATACTGTTGAAGTTATAGGCCATAACATTGCAGCATGTGCAGTATGACCTAGGAATGCCTGAGATAAGAATCCTTTTTTTCCTGTTTTAGGAGAAACTAAAACACAGAAGGCATTATATATGCTTTAAAGTAGGCTGKACATTTAATCATTGGCACCTCATGTTAAGTATTTTTCATTGCAGGGATTTTATCAGTGCTTCATTATTTTCTCACAAGGGTAAGAAGTGGAAATGTTGGCATTGTTTCCTATTATTACTTTATTTTTAATCTTTCCGCTGATTGTAGGTACTGTGTTAGAGAATGACATTTCTCGAGTGACACCAGACCAGAGGAGAAATCCATCTGGCAGTAGATGGACTCATGGACGTGTTACAAGCACTCAGTTTGATGTTGGTTCTGAGAAAAGGACTCTCAATGGGAAATACGCTGCTTTCCCTATCCCTGCTTTGGCGAGAGTGCTGAGGAGCCTGTTGCGATGTAGGAAGCACCTGCAACTCCCACTGTAATTTCATGCAAATTGGAGCAGTTGCAGAAATTTGAACCAGGAGTTTCTCTTAATGGGAGAGATTCTATCAAAGGCATTATGCTAAATTTATACCTGCCTTTTTTTCTTTTTTTTTTTTCTTTTTGAATTGCAGAATTTTTATGCTAAACTTATTTTCGGTGGTTTTTGGGGGGCATTTGAAAAGAAGTATCAATTCCATTTATGATTGCAATTCTGCATAAACATGTGTATGCATGGATATATTTCTGTAGAAGGTGGGATCTGTCTGTGCAGGTCAGCTTTTAAATCAAAATTTTAGAAAGAAACTGATTTTCTTCATTATCTGCCAGAGGAACRGAATAATGAATCAGTGGTTATACCAAGCTAATGCAGGCCAAAAAAGAAAAAAAAATCTGGGCATTATGTGAGATTTTTATTTACAACATGTCCTTGGGGTAACTGTTAGCCCAGGCTTTGAAGRGAGATGTGCTTGGTTAATCTCTTCATATGAGTATTTTCTTCTGCTGTGTGTCTCGTGCACTCAGCTGTTCCAGTGTTGGTACCATTGCAGCTAAACATCCTTCACAGATGCAAGGACTGATTTGCCCAAGGAAGTGTTGGAGTCCCCCATCCTGTGCTCATACACTCCCTAAAAAAATACCCCTGTGGCCACAGTAACTTTCCAGGTATTTGAAGACCATTTGAAGGGCAGGTTTCTAGGTCTGCCTGGCTTAGTGGTCTCTGCTTGACCATCTCCAGGTCAAGCATTACTCCAAAAGATTACTCCACAGCTCTCAGTGCAGTGTCTAGTTTACTACCTTTTGTTACACCTACATGGATCTGTTCATCACTGGGAGCTGACGCTGAGATAGGGGAGATTCTCTTTGCAAAACCAGTGTCCAGCCAGCGCTCCCSATTGAGCATTGTGTGGCCTGCCTTGGATTTGTGCAGATTTCCCAAAAAAAGAGCGAACCACCTCCTGGCAGGCTACTCTACACAAATATCTAGTAGGAGTTGTGTAGCCTTCCTAAATTGCTTATTGGAAATCACGGCGCTAAGCAATTTTTGTCTGTGGGAGGAAATTTCATGTTTAACTTACGGGCTCTATACCTAATGTCTAAATTACCTGTGCATGCAAATCCACATTATAGTATATATAATCTATCCTTGTGAGACATCTAAAATTAAATCTGTCAACGTACACGTAGAGGAGCTCCTTAGGAGTGGCAGCTTGAGATTTAACGTTCTTGCTTGTAAAATTGATACGAAAAGTTAGAAAAGCATTTGAAGCTGCTTTTAAAATAAATTCCTGCAGTTTATCCAGACCGCTACAAATTGGAATCTGATCTAGGAACCACTTTAAAATGAAAGTATTGCTCAAAATTTCTGATTTATTGCTGTAGTAGCAAGTGCTTTCTAGTTGATACAGCCCTCGAGTGTTGGGCTGGAAATGCTGTAATTTCTCTATGATGTTGTAGCAGCTTACATTTGTTCCTTGAAGAGAGGTTTCAAAAACAACTAAATCAAAAAAATTTTTTTTTGCACAAAATTGGCATTTTATTTAGGCTCACTGCTCCTAGTCCCTGTCCTTTAGCTTGGCCAACTCCCCCATCGTGCAGCCGTTGCAATTTTATCCCCTTTCGAGCCCCTCTGTGTCTCATCGCTCCCATGTGGAAAGTGCCCTTCGACGTCTTCATTTGACCCCTCCGTATTGAGCCAAAAGGGGGAACCCAGGAACCTCTGTCCGCGGATTCGTGTGGTCCTTTTGGCACATGTCCCGTGCACTCCAGTGTGAAGCAGCCATTGATCTCACCTTGTTGACATCTCAGTCTCGTCATCGCGTCCGGACTGTATCAGCCGCCTCTTCCGAATCTCTCCCACTCCCGTGTTTCTTCCCCCTTTTCCCACTCCATAATGCATGAGGCATCTTCTCCGGGACGGTGACAGRTCAGCAGGGAGCCCCATCCCGGCAGCCTGCGATGCGATGAGAGCTCTCGGGGTGCCTTATCCTTGGAAACGGCCTTTTTGGAGAGATGCTTTTCCCCTTGCAGAGACACTTGGATGGGCCAGCAAGGAAAGCTCTGCCTCTCTGGGCCTTTAAGCTCCATCCTTAGTGCCACCCACTTGGTTTTATAATCCTCCTATGAATTACAATGCCAGGAATGACCAAAGAGGCTTAGTCCTTTGCCACTGCTCCGTAACAGTGGTGGAAAAGGCACATTTAGCAAGTGCGAGGCCCTTGGTGTATCTGACCAGCTTAGCACGGAAGCCCTCAGGACAGAGGTGTCTTCCCGAGGGCTCCGTGAGTGGGAGGAAGGTGGAGGCGGCCGGGAGAAGCTCGCGGCRCCTGAGGGCTAGCGTGAGAACTTTAAACTCATGTCACCTTTTCTTTTTAGGCATTCAAGCCAGTGTTTTAGGGGCCTCTCTGTCTTCTACAGGACCAGGTAGAACTACTTTGCACAGGGCTTTTCCTTTTCTGTGTATATATTTTTTTAGTTCTTTCTTTTCTTTTTTCTTTTCTCTTGTCAGCAGACCTTGGGGGAGCTGGTCTTGGGTTTGGGGGGATATTTTTCCGCATAGAGTGTGAAGAATGTGTTACTGGGAAAACCAAGTTTGCCCGTTCCAGCTCTTTGTAGTGTTGTGGTGTGTCTGAAAATGGTGCAGAGCTTGGGCCCTTGGAGGAAATTATGGCCAGGAGTGATTTGGTTGGGATTTCCTCAGGAGTTCCCCAGGCCTCCCCTGGCACACTGGAGTGCTTGTTGTTAAAGGCGGCTGCATTTTGCATTAGTGTTTCCCACTAAGAAAGTTTAATTCCTGTTTGCAGAGTCCAGGTAACCATGTATGATTAGCAAACCTTAATGGATTAAAGTGCAGGCCAGAGTTAATGTGCTGCAAGGCTGTTGCTTACACAGGCACGAGGCAGTGGGCTTGCATGGCTCTGTTCTGTGGTGAATAAGCCAAACTGCACTAGCTTTGCTGTAGCTGGAAAGTCAAGCTTGTAGCTTCCTTAAATGCCAGCTTCCTGCTTCACCACACAAGACCTGTTCCAGCCCTCACATCYGCACCTGCAGAAGTGAGGGCACCGTGGAGGATTTGGTGAGACTGTGAGGTCCAAGCATGCCAAGCACCCTGTCRTGATGTCCCCAAGGGCTGTGGCTTTGTCTTCAAACCACTACAGGCAGATTCCCACCTGGCTGAGCAGAGATGGATGCATTTGTTTGGTAGTTTGCGGAAGCTGTTGGAATTTCTCCATAAATTTATGCTCCCCTGCTCTGGATCACGCAGCTTGSCTTAAATAGTAGTTTCCCCCAGATGCAGACCGAGGTTTGGGTCCACTTTGACCCTTCCTTGCAAACAACCCAAATTTCCCTTGCAAATGGCCCAGCTGACCCATCTCACAGTGGGCTGGAGCTCCACTGTCTGCTTGAATGTGCTCAGAAATGCCAGCTGGCATCTGCTGTGAGCAAACAGGGCTTGCTGCACGGTCTTGCAAGGAATGTCCTTTCAAGAATCCAATGAAGTTTAAAAGATGGGCAGCACCATAAGCATGTCATTTTAGTGAAGGAAAACCTCTTTGCAAAAAGATTTAGTTGTTAGGATTTTTTTTATCTTTCTTTGACTTATGGGGGGGAGGGAAGAGGACTAAAGTTCCTACTTARAGTAATCTGTTTTTCTCCCTTTTATTTTGTTTTATTTTCTTATCTGTGGAAGCCATGTAAGCAAAGTTCTCTGCCAGTGCTAGGGATTTGTGTGGTATTTTTTCAAGGTGTGGGTTGGAGAATGTCACACATTCATTTTTAAACAGTTTTGTGCTCCGATATGAATGAAGCACAGGGCAGTCAAATGTCAGGGGAAGCTTAGCAGCGCTTTTGCTGCTTCTCTCCATTTTCTTATTAGCTGTGTTTGCTTAAGAGGAGCTGCTTATACTCTTAGCTTTGGTGGTGGTTTCAGAACTGGCAGCATTTTGGCTCTTGTCAATGTTTTTTTGGTCAGCATAGAAGATACATTCTGCCAAAGTAAGTCTGTCCGGACAATTTTTTGAGTGACTTCAGCCTTTTATTTTGCCCTGCTCTTCCCTGACTCTGGTTCTAGTGGAGGCTGCTGTCCTCATTCCTTCTCTTGGGAAGAGGAGAAACGTCCTACTTGACTCCAGTTCTCACCCTTCAGTAGAGTGCTGGGTGATCAACCCCACCTGGGTGCAGGTGCCCCGAGGGATGGGTGCTCACATCCCATTTGCAGCTCTAACCACCTCATCCAGTGCCTGCTGGACATCCTGGAGTGGCTTCCAGAGCTCCATGGCCATCCCTGGGGACGTTGCAGCTCCCCTTGCTGCTTGGGTTGAGAGATGCTGCAGGGACAGCTCAGCTCAGGGTCACACGCTGCCACCACGATGCTTATGGCCTTTCACAATTAGGTGATCAAGCCATGGGTTTTCTTCTTGTGCTACTTGCCACATGCCCTGCATGTCAGTCCTAGTGGGTTAACTGTGTTTTTGTTTTTTTAATATATATCTCTTATTTTTTGTTGTTGTTGTTAACAAGGGAAACTGACCTTGCTTTCTCCCCTCTTCAAAATGCCCCAAAGGAAGCTAGCCAAGAAGCAGAAGGAGACTCAGACCAGCACGCAGAGGGAGATGGGCCCCGTGGCTACGTCAGACAAGACTTCTACCAAACTCAGTGCTGTTCACAATGAAGAAGCTTTTTCTTCCAGCTGCCAAGATGTTAATGGATTCAGTAAGTTTAACTTGCTTCCAATGGATATATCCCCCTTAGGGAGCTCCAGGGTCTTCAGAGGACATATTCCTATTGACTCACAATATTGAAGAGTTAGGAAAGACTGTGGTAGACTTTGTTGCAGAAGCTTGCTAGAAATCCATCTGAAATGTCTTTGACACTGCCCTTATTTTAACTGTCAGATAGGTGGAGAACACTCCTGCTGATTCTCAGTCTACTGAAAATAATTTATGAAGTCTGTTTAATTACATGAGACAGTCAAAAAGGCACATATTGTTCCTCAGATCAACTCACTTAACTACCTTCTGGGATGAAGCAACATTTTCTGTATGAAATTGTTGTGAAAGAAAGCATGATCTTATGGCTAGGGAATGGCAGTGGGATGAAGGACAGCATTTCTTCTGCAGTGTCCTCCATTTCTTCTTTGCAGGAGGTCAGTAAAATGAATCCTAGTTAATATTTGCAACCCCTCAGATCTCTGTAGATGGAAAAGTACTGTGGGCAAAGCGACACRAAGATGTGCTGCAGTCAGCCAAGTCCCGGACTGAGAGCATGGTGGATCTGTAAACTTCTTCATATTAAATAAATGTGAACTTAGAAATGATGGTAATGCCCGTCCGCCTTTTGACAGTTAGCCTTAGTTTGAAAGAGGACTGGGTCTGAAACACAAGTGTGTACCGAAACTCTCTTGTCTGTCGTGAACATCTCAGCGAAGCGTTTTTCCCTAAATACTAGTGAAGTGCTTGTGATACAAAACGTTATTTTTTTTTTATCGTTGAAACCTTTCTTCGTAATCTGAGATCGAGCAAGACAGGCTGAGTGAGTCTTCCTTGCACCTCTGTGTGGAGGTCACGCCGAGATCCATCTGCGTAGATTGCTGCTGTCACTCTCTGTAGCCTGCCTGCTGGATGGATAAATAGGTGCTTGGCACCTCCAAGGCCAGCAGTGAGGACTTGTCTCTGCTTTTTAAATTGACTTGAGTCGAGATCTAATTCTTGCAGGTACTGAGTAGTCGTATCTCTTCAAGAAGACAGCAGGACTTGTCAGTGGTTCATATCTTTGAAAGACAAGATAGCAGAAGACAGTGTTGTAGCAGGCATCCTAGAAAGAGCGAACAGTAGCTTGGGTTAAAAGTGTGGGAATTGGAAGTTCTTAGCACGTCCTTCAGGCGAGTTTTTTAAAGCTTACTTCCAACCAGAAAGCAACAATCATGGAGGAGCCTAAAATATGCCCTCATCATATATTTTTTTTGTCATTTTAAGGGACTGATTAAAACAGCTGAGTCATTTACTTGAAATGACAGCTATAGAAACTTTTTGCAAAATTAGTTACAAAATATTATCCCGTCACGTTTTTTTCAGTGCTCTGCTTGTTGGGCATCATTGCAGATTTTGCCAGTACCTCCCTATATGACACAGCCTGATGTAAATCACAAGCTGCTCTAAAATATATATGTATAAGTATATATATAAAAAAAAAAGAGCAATAATTACCAGTAAGTTTTCATGATTTCTCCACACTTTCTGCCGAGTCCAGGATGCGGACGTGTCAGAGGTAAGTTCTGTTTTGTGCAGCAGTGTGCACAGGCTGATACAGGAGTGGGTTTAGTGCTGACAATACAAATGGAAGAAGAGGGAAGAAGACTTTTTTTTCTCTTAAAAAGTCTTAATGGAATTTAATACTTAAGGATTTCTGTAGGACACTAACTTCTGAATAGCATAAGTAGGATTACTTTGTCACCTTTCTTCTAACTGATATGAATTTACAGGGTGAATCAACTCTTTGCCATTGAGAATTACCATCCTCTTGGCTTTATGATGAGTWAAAATATTTATTTCTGCACCTTCTCCATCTCGGTGCTTTTTATTTTTTCACCGTAAGCTGATGCAAGTGGTATCAGCCATAAAGTCAGGGTTGCTGGGTGAAATGGGGTCCTTCGCAGAGGGCTGCTGCCCTGCATCAGTAACAGGGGATTGAATTTTATCATTTGGCAGAGGTGTTTGTTATCAAATATAATTATGTTCCAGGAAGATCGGTAACCCCTGGGCTGGAACAGGGAGCTCAGGTTTTGCTGAAAATTACAACAGAAATGGACATTTATCTTCTTTGGCCCAAAGCAAGGCTCCTTTCCCCTTTTTTCCTTCCCACATTAGTGGTTCTTATTCAGGCAGGATTCATACTGATGTTATCAAGGTTGTTACCGGAGAGGTTTTATGGAACTGACCTGTGTCTCTGACACCATATGGCACCAGGAATAAATATTTGCTGAACGAAGAGCTATTCCAGCTTGTTAAGTTTTATCCAGAGGTAATGTGGAGACGAAGCAGGCTCATCGGAGTCCATCTATTTTTCACAAATATTTTTGTGGTATTTTTTAATGCAATAATGATATAAACCCCGTAAAGGTAAATGGTGATATCTGCAGTATTTGAGATAGCTCCTTAGTTAAAGTAAGAACTTTCGGAAAATGCTCATTTTTTTCAGTGTGGCGTGGTCACATTCAGGGCTCGTGGGTTCAGTGCAGGGTTATTATGAAACCAGGTGACAAATACGCAGCAGGGAGAGCCCAAAATTGCCCACGTGCATCTGTGCTTTGACCAGAAGGGTGCGCGAGGGGTTGTAATTGCTCATAAATTCTGTGTAATTTGGCGTCCCGTCGATGTGATGGGAGAAGCAGCAGTATATCATCTCCCTAGTGATGCACTAATGATCTGCCCTGCACACGGGGACTGCTCTTCCAGCTTTGCAATGATGATGAAATGCTGCTGATGGGGCTGTAGATAACACAGGCCAGGCAGGGCTGGTCCAAGGAGAATGCTGCATCACCTGCAGAGCCATCTCAACATCCCTGTGGACTTGCTGGCAGCTATGCTTTGCTTTCCAGATCATGATCTCTTATGCAGCCTTATTTTGGCTAGAGGCTGATGTATTRGGGCATCCATAACTTTTGTGACATCTTAGTTTGGGAGAAGGCTTTTTTCCAGACCTTAGAAGGAATGAGATTGATGCAGATTGGGTCAGTAGCCTTAATGGTGCAGGTCAGTATGAAGACAGTGTGGAGGAAGCTGCAGGGGAGCCCAGGTAGGTGTTAACGAGCACCATGGAGCAGCTGTTGTGCTCTGACTAGTGAGAACTAAGAGAAAAGAGAGAAATACAGGGAAATGCCACTCAGGGCGGTAAGGATCATCTTTCACAAAGATGCTAAACTCCCACCTCTCGGTACCCAATATTCTTTAATAATGAATGAAATTTAGAAGTCTTGTCATAATTCAAAAGAGTTGCATTGAGGTCTAATTCTTAATGAAACTGCATAGATAATTTTTGCTCTTAGTTAAGGTACCTGCTAAATACAACTGAAGGGCTAGGATCATGACTTGGAGATGTTTTCATTAAAAATTAAAAAAAAWATATATATACACAACTAGTTATAAAGCCAAATGTCAAAAGTGTAGAAGGAAATGAAAATATGGTTTGTCTAAGTCAAAATACAAGAGCACCTTTATTGGTTTTCCTGGTGGTTGGTTTTCTATTGTGGGGGCCTGGAGGAAGAGTTGTTTTTGGTGTTAGCAAATTCTATAAAAGTTAGGAGAGGACCATCTCGTAGATAGGAGTGGACCTCCACCATGCTGTATGACTAAAGGACCTCGTGCCGCTCATTTGAGTGTTTCCCACAACATGCACATGTGCAGAAGACCCTCTGGATAGGTGACTGTGCTGTGAACACATTTGAACTCATCCCTACCTGATGGGTTTTGCAAACAGACTCTTTAAAAATGCCCTTCAAAAGCTCTGTTAACCGCTCAGTGCCCAGACAAACAAATGACTCTCTTTAGATTTTCTCTTATACACCTTAAAAGTGGCCAGGCTTCTGGTGTAGTAAGAGAAGAGTCTGAGGCACAAAGGAGAGGAAGCCCCGGGTGGGTGATGCTCTGTGGTGCAGAAGTTCTGCAGGCTGAACTAYGAGGCAACCGATGGTCTTCACGGGGTTGCAGATGGTTAAAGCCTTGAAAATAGGGCAGGAAAATACAATATTAAAGTGAATTGGTTTGTTGGATGAGTATAAACAGCTTGGAGGCAATGCCGCAGACCTCTTGAAACTCCCCAGCTAGTGACTACCTCATMTTAAAGAATAACTTAGATTTTGAAAGCAATGTTTGCTTTAGAAATGCAGAAATTGCTTCTGAAGTTGCTTTGCATACTGAGTTTTATCTGCTTCTGTTGGATTAGGGAATAGTTATTYCTCTGTTATCTGTGGTCATCTTTCTGATGTGCCGAGATGTTGTGTTAGCTTGTTTCCCATCGTTTTGAGAAGGGAGATAAGAAGTGTCTGCAACTCTAAGARTGAACACAGAGGGACAACAAAAGAATGTGATTTCAGAAATGACAGATTACCATAAAAATGTGYGTGTATGCTGTCCTGTATATAAACCAACTTCATAAATTTGTTGTCAAAAAATAGACAAATTCTATAGCCATGTAGAATTGATCCTTGCCTCTTTTGCAAGTTTATTTGATTAATTTGGAAACTACTTCTGTGTTCTTGCCCAGAGAAATAGGAGAGAACAGGGATGCTTGATCTGCTCAAAGAACCCATCTCACAGCGGGGAGAATTGTAGGAATCRCGATGAACAGTTTTTAGGTGAAGAACAAGTCCCTTGTTATCTTGAATCTTGGTGTTAAGAAAAAAATATATWCTGCCTTACCTGTACATTTGTGAAGAACTGCAAAATATGCATCTAAAATAGTTTTGTGATACTAGTGTACGTTATGTTTCATCAGGCTTGCTTTACTGTTAATGCTGCATTTACTACTTTGTGTTTTATTCTTCTTTTTTAAGGATCTTTCTCCCAGAGGCAGAAACATAAGGTTATTCCTTTGKTTTAAAAAAAACAAATGGATATAGAGACTATAGTCTTGCACACTGATTTAAAATAACCATAATACAGTGTTTGGGGTGTGGAATGCTTGTATTAAAGGAAATCCATCATGATGACATTGTAATAAATGTAATATGCATGTTGAGACGAAAAATGTAATTCATTGTGRTAAGCCTTTTATATCCCATATTACTGTGTTCYTTGAGGAACATGCTCCCTGATCTTCCTCTCTCTTAATATATGTCTAAAGTCTTTTCCTTATGTCTTTCCTACCTAGCATCACCCTCTCCTTGTTCATTTTCTGTCCAAAGCAAAGCCCTTCAGAGCAAATCTTTGTTGAATTCCTCCTATTCAGGTACTAGTGCCAGACTTTTATTTCACTCCTTAATTTTCTTTGCTTTTGTGCGTTTCCCAATATGACATATAGACTGCGTCCTCTGCGTGTTAGATACCACTAACCTTGTTTTCATTTTTTTTGTAACTTTTTTCCTATTGATCTTCTGTTGATTTCCATTGATCCGTGTCGTGTGGGTGAACGGAATTTCATCTCAAAGTCTCATCAGACACTGTTCCATCGACCACGCTGCTAGGTAAGAGGACAGGTATGGTGTGCTGCACTTCATTGCAGAGAAAACCCACTCATTGTGCCTCAAAAATGCCTCAGAGAACACAGTTAACTGGCTGGGCTCCAAAGTCATTATTTATCTCGTGCTCAAGAACTATATTAATTCAAAGGCCTTTTGTAGGATTTATTTTTTATTCTTTATCGTTATTATAATGGTGATTATATGTCTTTTACAGAAGAGCTGTTTCATTGTTGTTTCTTTCTTTGAATGGGATTTAACCTTCTAGGCGAAATTTCCACATGTTTTCTTGCATTTTGCTTAGTTTTAGCTTGTGATGGTGCCTGTGCATGAAGCTCAGTCCTGTGTGTGTTAGGGCTTGCAAACAGGAGTGAGGATTTGCATGGTCAAAGCAGGTGGGAGCAGACTTCTCTTGGACTCTGTTGTAAATAGAAATATCATATGGAGAAATCAGAGTTTTAGCAAGTGACTGCATCTCGTTTTATGTATGCAGTGAATTAAAYGCTAAATACTCAAGCAGTCAAGCATAGATTGGAGAGGCTAATAGAAATAGTAGCTGTAAATGTAGGCTGTCCTGTGGCCACCAGTAACTTTAGTTAGATGTGTTGAGCATTTCTGAAAACAAGCRCCTGTTGTTGAAGTGGTGGAGCATCCAGAGTGCAACTCTTAGCTCTTGGAGCTCTAAAAATAACGTGCTCTGAGTTAACAGAGATGGCAAAACTGGCAGAAACTGCAAGGCAGTGAAAGAAGCTACTCAAACTGAGCTGGAGTAGACCATCTAAGGTGAGTAATGGCAGCATCTGAGTGAGGTGTTCTCGCTGGGATGTGATGCTGCCCATCCTTGGGGCTTGCAGGCAACAGTCCTTCCATGGAGCCTCCGGAGGATGATCAGGATCACACTGGAGTCTTTAGTAGAGCTGTCATTTCGGATTGCCTACAATAACTGCTCACTTCCAGACACACTAAACGCCCGGGCCTGTTTTAAACATTGCTCGGTGCCTCTTGATGGCCCAGGGTTAGCGTAGGGGTAAACTGCAGCCCATCACCTGGGTGTCTTCTTGCCTCGAGGACTCCTGCTCGAGCAGGGACAGGCTTGAAGCTACTGCYGCTATACGGACATTTATCCAGGTAGCTATCGGAATGCCGACTGCAATAAATGAGCCCTTTYTCCCACAAGGTTTGCTCTTATTTTCCCAGAGACTCAGTGATGTCAAGAGAAAAGTCTGAAGGTAGATGGATGTTTTGGTTGCAGCCCTTTTTGAAGTAGTGCTCAGACCTGGAGCTTTGCTGGAAGGTGTCCAACTGGAGGTGTCCTTACTCTGAGGGACAATGAGCCATCTGGAGATRCAACCTGTGCCTCCTGCAGTGGAAAACAGGTCTCCCAAGACCCATAAAGCTTTCAAAATAGCAAATTTTAAAGGGGGGAGAAGGGGAGGAGATGAGAAATTGGGAATTAAACTAGTCTGTGCTTGTGAATTCAAAATTCTTTCAAACTTAATACCTGCTACACACCATCTCTGGGGTGCATAAGAATTAATATCCCTGTTTTGCACATGGAAAGTCAAGCACAGAGCATTTAAGACATGATTTACACAGGTCATTTCGCTGGTTCCACCTGAGCTGAACAGCCCAAGGTGCCATGGAGCAGCCCTGAGCTTTGAGCAAATACCTGTCCTAGGACTTGGACAAATGAGAGCTGGGAACTGCTGTTCTGACTCATCCARGGGAACTTGGGCAGACTGYTCAACTGGACMGTGAGAAACCTCATGAAGTTCAACAAGGGCAAGTGCAGGGTCCTGCACTTGGGGAGAAATAACCCTGGACACCAGTACAGATTAGGGGTTGACCTGCTGGAGAGCAGCCCTGCAGAGAGGGACCTGAGCGTTGTGGTGGATGACACGATGACCATGAGGCAGCAGTGTGCCCTGGTGGCCAACAAGGCCAATGGGATCCTGGGGGGCATCAAGAAGAGCGTCTCCAGCAGGTCAAGGGAGGGGATCGTCCCCCTCTACACAGCCCTGGTGAGGCCACGTCTGGAGACTGTGTCCAGTTCTGGGCTGCCCAGGACAAGAGGGATGTGGAGCTGCTGGAGAGAGTCCAGCGCAGGGCTACGAGGATGATCAGGGGCCTGGAACATCTGCCCTAGGAGCAAAGGCTGAGGGAGCCTGTGCAGCCTGGAGAAGAGAAGGCTGAGTGGGGACCTGATCAGTGTCTGTAAATACCTCAAGGGAGGCAGAGAGGAGGAGGGGGCGGCCTCTTTTCAGTGGTGGCCAGCGACAGGACTAGAGGAAACGGCCTCAAGCTGAGGCACCAAAAGTTCCCCAGGAACTTAAGGAAACATTTCTAGACAGTGAGGGTGCCAGAGCCCTGTCACAGGCTGCCCAGGGAGGTTGTGGAGTCTCCTGCTCTGGAGATCTTTAAAACCTGCTTGGACGCAGTCCTGTGCCCCGTGCTCTGGGTATCCGTGCGTGTGCAGGGGGTTGGACTAGATGACCTCTAGAGGTCCCTTCCAGCCTTAAGGATTTTATGTTTATATGAAAATAAGTGTGTTTTTTGAAGTTGACCAATAATTGTTCCTGGGAAGTAGAGAGAGATGTTATAAAGGGCCTCGGTCATCTCACCATCATTATCAGGCTCTACCTGTAGTCCACTGCTGTTTGCTCCCCTCCACGATGCCTTTTGCTCATAAAAGTTCTGTGTTTGCAATGACAGATGACTCGGGGCTTGGCCATTGCATGGTTTGTTGAAAGTAAGATATAATGAWTTTTTTTGTTTTGTTTTCCTGAGGGCCTCTGCCCTATCCTGTGCTTGGTCAATACTTCTCTGTATAAGCCTTTTTTTTTAGCTGTGTAACTTTGTTAGCTTTGTATTTTAAAAAGTTTTGTATTTAAATGTTTTGCATACGTTTCTATGCTAGGGAGACAAATACTTAATACCAACAAAGGAAGTAGATTTTTCTACTTTTAATACTCTAAGACCCTTTTTATACAAGTAATGTAATAGAAGGTAGTGCAGACCTTAGAGGATGTCCTTGAAGAAAAAATGCATGGCCAGGAGCTCTAGAGATGTTGAGCAAATGCCATCAGTGCAGACTTTTGGGAGGAAGCAGTGTGTCCTTCTCTTCTATCTATTAACATCTGATTGCTGGGCACATCACCTCAACATCCTATTTCCACCTTTGAGGGAGTTTATTCTTTGCTGTCTGGTGAATATACATATATATGTGTATGTGTGTAGGTGTTTTTATATATAATGGGTTTTTTTTGAGATGRAAGTGCACATATGTAAGCTGATTGCCAAGTTGATCTTTAAAATCTCTTAAAAATCTGGAGAAAAATTTCTCTAGAAATTTTCCTTTTTTTTTATCATACACATGCAGCTTCTTCAGAACATTTGAAATGAAAGATATATCCTCCACTTTGTCAAGCGTGGTGTCAGGTTTTTTCCAGAGGAACGTGCCTTGCGTAGTTGAATTCGTGTTTTTAGACAAATGAGGGTTTAACTCGGCTTTGCCATACGATGCTTTGTACTGTGTATACCGTATTACCGTAGAGCTGGATATTTATCATACAATAAAGCCCCGATGTGCACATAAAAGCAAATTAATCTTACCAAGTACCACCGTATCCCTACTGTAATGGGAGGAGATATTTGCCATGCCACAGCCATCCTTGGAAGGTGTCAAATAATTGACGACCCTTACTCTAGTAGAGAAGAGATTGGATATGTGTGTAATTAAATCCATCACAAACACCACTCGGCATATAATTTATTTTGTGCAAAGGATGTCTTATCATATTACACACTTGCCAAAGCTAAGAGAATAAAAGTATAAGCAGAGATGCTAGGCCTGTCATTATACTGAAGCAAAAGTTTTGGGGGGAAAAGGCTGTATTCAAGCTCACGCATCAGTGCAGCCTTGTTCTAGTTGTTTGAGTCATAGATAAGGGTTTTTTTTCCCTAACAACGAATCAAAATGTGTGTATATGTGTAGATATCAATCTCTGGCCAACAAAACTGTTTATGAAACAAGATAATGTGCTTGAAAGGATCTGAAGTTTCAATCCCAGACGCTGCTCGGGGTGAACAGGTCCCTTCCCAGCAGTGTGACGGGAACATTGCCTCATGCTCTGACCATACCCAGCAGACGCTGGCCCGCAAATCTAATTTCTCATCTGTTTTTTCATCATTTCTGTGACATGTGTGGAGGAGTTTATCAGCTTTTCTTGGGAGGCAGATGCATGTATTTTTCTCATCTGGGCAATAAGGGTGTATAATGAAAGGTGGTGGAGCAACAGGCAGGCAGGCAATAATATCCTGCCCTCGGGTTGCTCATCACCAGGGGAAGATGCCATCCATCCATCCATCCTTCTTCAGCTGGAGCTTCTCTTGGCACACCCTGCTCTGCTGTGCTTCTYTTAGCACCAATGGACCTCACAGGTTGCTTTATTTGTTATTTCTCCCGAAAAGGAGAGAACCACAGAGTACAATTTCATAAGCAGGRAGAGTGTGTAGGAAATCAAAGTGTAGCCAATGTTTCTTTGAATGTGAATATGTACATTTGCACCCCAAAAGTGGTAAACCGAGACCCCTGAAGCATTTCACAGTCAAGTTAGCTATAAGGGAGGCAGTGGATGTAGTTTTGTTTTTTAATATGCCATACATAGCCCTTGAGGACATTCTGTGAGCTCACAGACTCATCATGAAAGTGCCATCTTCCACARGCCAAAACATCTGCTTTGATGATGGGCATCTAGATATGGGGAGCGAGAGCGGGACCTCAAAAGTGTTGCCAAACAAGCCAGCAGACTATTTTTCTGTTGTAGCTACTAATCCTAGAAATGATCCTACTGTATTCAGCATGTTTCTAATGGCATACCAAATACTTCTTTCATTTACAGCTGCACCAGAAGAACTTGGGATAATTGGGCTTGTTTTTAAGAGGGACCTGGAGCTCAGAACATTGTGCCTCAGTGAGACCTCAGAAGCTCTCTCCTTTGATTYACTTTATCAAAGAGAAACTGAGGAAGTGATTTGATCAGTGCTTGCGTGGGACAAGATTTCAGATACTCGAGGGGCCCTTTAATCTACTTCAGAGAAGGTGGAATARGATTTAGTGCTTGGAAGCTGAAGCTAGACAGAGTCAGCTTGCAATTATGAYAGGCTCAACAGCAGCAGATTAGAGGTTGGGATGGAATTGCCATCATGGGAATTGTTTCAGTTTGGGAGTGTTTCTCAAAATTGTGTTCTGCCTGTGGAATTCAGTGAAATTTCACACTTTAGGATCCTACGAACAGAATAAGCTCAAGTGACTTAAAAATAAGGTGTGAATGTGAAATACRATCCAAAAACATGTGTTACATGGTTTTTTATTCTTAATTGTTCTTGAGTGCTATTGTGAATTATTTCTAAAAATACCTGTTTTCATTATTGTTTTTTTTCTCATTGGAAACTTGCATAAGAGTTTCTTTAGAGGTGCTATCAAAAATGTAGGCTCATTTGATCTACAGACCCATCCATATGTGCAAGAAAAGGTGGGGATGCTTGCAAGCAGGGGGATGGAGAGGACAGCATGTGGAAAATTAACCGTGACTCATTCAAAGTGTGCCAATTAAACCAAAAGTCTGGTTTTGCCGAGGGGCTGCTATTTTTGTTGCCTTTCCAGTAATAAGAGTGTCAGAAGAAGCAAAATGGGTTTTATTGCTGCAAGCGGCAGGAGAAGCGAAGCCCGTTTGCAAGCCTTCCAAGGGCTCTTTGGGTTGATTTTCCCAGGGAGAGAGCACTTTGCTGCTCCCTATCTTCCTGCCCTGTGTTTTGAGTCGTTCATGGAGCTGCTGTGAATGTCCCTTTGTGGGCGCTCATGAGGTGCCTCATTAACCATGCTTAGGTTCATGCTCCCRGTGCGATTAGACAGAGAGGGAACAATATGTCTCTTGCGTGGTGTTTTATTAGCAGAACGTATGAGCATGAGGCTCACCTTGCACACAGCAATTGGTCTCCATAAGAGTCCCTCTCATTTTTTCTTGGTCTGGATACAAAGCTTGTGGTGGGACTTGATGACCATCCCAAGTTGGTGCAAAAGCCAGACTTGGGRTTTTCAGGGGCCAGGTGGGACACATTTGTCAGAGAAACCTAAAGGAGCTGGTAGTCTTTGTTTCAAACCTCAACATGTCTTGGGGTTGAGCATAGGATGACCTACATTGTGTGATACTTTTTTTATTTTTTTTAAGCAGAAATCCCAAGAAAGCAAAGCAAAGGATGYTATTTTGCAAGGGAGAGAGGGACAGCCTCTCCTCTCACCCTATGAAACCATTGAAGGATGAGCCAAACAGACCAGAATTAAAAGATGTGATGAAGAAAGAAATTAATAATTTGGCAGTGAAGGGGATGGCTGGTCTGAGCTACACTGTACGAGTAGCCTGTGCTCTGTGTGCCTCTGTGTATTAGTGCTAGAACCGTACGCTGGTTTTAAGACTCCCTCTCGAATAGAACAGCGTAATGTGTTTTAATTGGGGCTGATAAAAAATGTGGCATTGCGTGTAGGCTCCTCAGAGAAGCCAGTTGTGAAATTGGGTTTGTATTAAACCTAATGACGGAAAATTAAGCATAGTGCGTCTGTTGGAAATGGCCCACGATAAAATCTTCTCTTTTCCATTACAGGAGGCTAATAGGGAATAGGGGAGGAAAGATGCACTGGGAAAGTGAATCCAACTAGGGGAATTAATAAGCCTTGAAATTCCCTCTGTTCAGAGTTCTCACACTGTCATTAGTCAGAGCATTAGGGGTGATTATACAAGTGCTTTGAACGTTACTCTTCCTTAAATTCCAAATTTATTCACGTTTTATGCACAAGAGTTGTTTTGCCAGGGCCACAACTCTGTAAACCTTTGAGTATTCTAGGAATGCAAATGTGTTTGAGAACCTGAGCTTCAAAAATACATTTATTCCTTCTAAAACACGATTGCAGAGTTGCTGACATGGGGTGGTGTTTAGGTTCTTGGCTTTTACAGTAGATTTGCAGTAAGAATTGAGCCAGCTGTATGCAACTTTCACATTTTTTGAACAGTTGGGAGAAGGTATCTTTTATTCTAGCTAATTTGCTGTTCTTTGTTAAGACCAGAAGGTCATTATCTGCCAGGGAGTCCATGCATCTACAATACCTGTAATAGTATGAAAATGCAATGGCTCATTTGGGCAGCCACYAGAATTTGGGCAACTGTGGTAGATAAGAAACTAAACCTTGCATTTAATCTGAGTTTCTCTTGTGAGAAATAAATATCATGATAGTCAAATGTTTGTTGAGTTCTTTACTGTCAGTCAATTCTCCAGGGATATTTTGTTGTGTATCTAGAGTTTTATTGGGGATATAGGAAGCTGTGATTTCCATCAATATAGTGATGGAGCTGTTTAAATCTGTTTCTCTGGAAAAGGAACTTTCTGTTGAAAATGTACAAATTGGAAATTTTAGGTTTCTGCATGCAAGGTAACTGTATTTTCTGTGCTATTTTATTCATGCTGCTAATGCTGTGTCGTAGTGATTGATATATAAGTTTTAGGTCTGAACTTGCAAAGTGGTTTCATTTGCCTAGGGTGCCTTGTTTACAAGGCTGGTGACACTCTGTTCTCTGTTAACTGGGCCCCTCTCAGTTATCTCCTGCTCTACCTCTGAATGTTGAATATCTTGCTCATCCATCCATCCATCCTGCTCAGTCGTGTTCTTTGCAGGTTTGGGGCACAAGGTATGTAACTGCAGCAGGGTGCCTCTGCAGAGTGCTTGATTATAATATGTGCTGTTTCCCCACATCTGCTGTGTCATTATTTTTGTTCTTGCTCTGTTCCTACCTTTTTGGCATTTGCCTACTTGATGCAAAAAATAATGTCTGTGATACAGCCTTTCTGGGCRGCCATAGGCACGTGTGCTTTTTTCTTTACCTTCTTTTGCCTGTGTCAGCTGATGGGGTGGTGGGAAAGCAAAATAAGAGTGGAAATAAGAGCTGGATGAAAGTTTATTTTACCTCCCTGTCTTTGAAAACAGACGGTAGCCACGGCGAGATGACCCAGCCAACTCTGACCATCCAGACGCACCCGTACCGGAGCTGCGAGCCCGTGGAAATGTCCTACCCACGGGGACAGTTCCAGCCAGCCATCCGCGTGGCCGACCTGCTGCAGCACATCACCCAGATGAAGCGAGGCCAGGGCTACGGCTTCAAAGAGGAGTATGAGGTGAGAGCAACACTCGCTAACAAGACAGGTTGTATTCACGGCTAGGTGCTCAAGAGCGCAGGATGACCATTTTTTTTCTTATTTTGTCTGCTGTCTTAATCCTTCTTTCCTCTTATTTCTGTTTATAAGGCTGGGATTTCAGAGCAGGAGCAATCACCAGATGCCTGCTGTTTCTTGGCTCTGTAGACAAGGTGTCTRCTACTGCAGTAGGAGCCCAACATCACGTTCATCTGTTAGCTTGTGGCCTCTCAGGTAGTAAATATTTAAGAGGTGCTGAACTGAGTGAAGAGTTTGGAGTCCCCTGGTCCCATTCTTAGTTACAAGAAGGATTTAAGCTAAGCAAAGGAAGAGCTTTTGCTTTAGCTTCCTCTCTGTTCAAGACTATATACTYATCCATCACGTTAAATCACAGCTGAATTGCTTGTGTGCAGGACTGTGAAAGCAAAGCCAGAAACCTGGTATAGCTGAAATGACGATGGAGTTGTCCCCTATGTTCAAACCCCCAAGTCAGGATACATTTGACTGATCTGCTCTTCCAACTCCAACAAGAAGAGAGGCAATGAGCAAGCTGTTAAAACATAAGAAGAAAAGCTCCAAAACCTGAAATTACCAGAAATATAACCTGAGAGCAAAGACAAGAAGGAACATGACACGCGGGAAGAACTGAGAGAGAGTACAAGAGAACAGAAGAGGGAAAGACTATTAAATATTTGTGAGACTTTGCTCTAACAAGTATTGATTCTAATGAGTGGAGTAGTCTTGTTGGAAGGCAATAACTAATAATGCACATAGTGGCATTAAAACTCTTTAACATAACAGCTGTGAAAAAAGATATAATTTAAAGAAAATGGCTCATTTTTCAACCMTGCATATATGAGTCCCTAGAATTTGTTTCACTGGTGCCGACTCATGCTGTCACTGAGAGGCAGGTGGCCTGAGTGTCGCCTGGGAGTGATTTTTGATCAGATGGCATCCAAAGCTGCCGTAGCAAATACTTGTGGTAGCTCTTTTACCAGGGTCTAGTCAGTCATGCCCCGCAATCAAGCATGCTAATTAAGCTGTCAATACAAAGAGCTGTGCTTATTGATGCAAAAGGTGCTAATTCTCCTCGTTTTTGCTTAGCATTCCTCCTTAGCCTCCACTTCCATGAATAGCACGCGAAGCTGCAGGCAGCTCACTTACAGATGCCATAAGATCTAGTTCTTGATGTTCAAGAAGGAAACAGGTGCTGGCATATATGTAATTTTCTGGCACGGGCATTGGTAATTATCAAAATAACACATTAGCATGAAAAATGTCAATGCAACTTTTGGCTCCACACGTTCTGCCTTTTGCAGAAAGTGCTATCCGCATATGTATATAACGATGATGACATTATATAGATTTGCATAATTCCTTTCTTTACAAAAAATAGCCTGGAGAATTCCACCAGCTCTGAAATCACAGGCAACAGCCTACCCTTCAATCAGAGGTAATTATCTTAAATGGCACTCATTTTAGGTGGTGGAATTTGGCTTGCAGAGCATGGGTTGCGGGGAGCACTTCCAGCTCCAGTTTTCAACCACAAATAGTAATACCGCAGATTTAGGGAGGATATTGAGGAACATTAAAACTCATGGAAGGAAGGAAGGAGAGTTGGCAGAAAGCAGCTTTTCAAGCTGGAATCTGGAAGAACAGAAAACGTGTTTTGCAAAATGYTTGGTAATTTCTTTAATAAGAACTGGCCAAAAATTTTGCTTTATGTTGTTCTTAAAATGTAGTTTCTTAAACTGCTGTCTGTGTGACCTCCGAATATGTTTTGCTTTAAGGAGCTGGTTTTTCTCCTTTCTTTGCAAACTACTCACATAACTTACAGCATATTTGGTAACATGTTATCAAAGACAGTCAGATGTGGCAGTCTCATATCTCTGTCCATTCCCGTGTCCACTTGGCTGCCGAGAAAYTGCATTTCTGTTAGTTCGAAAAATACCTTCACCTCTATGACATTAAAGCAAAGGTAACATTTTTCCAGGACATGCAGAGGAATATTTCCATGCAGGAAAAAATCAGAGTATGACCATGTGCTTGATGTCACTGGTGTTGCAAGGTAATGCATGTGTAGATGTGGGCATCCCTGGGGATTTATTTGGGATCTCCTGCCCCATCTGTGTCCAAAGTGTGCCAAAAGCTGGCCTAGGTGCAAGCCTTTGAGCAGGACTTGCTCGCGTGTCACCAGCTCATTTTTCAGCACCTATCGACTCTGATTTGTTGTGAGCTACTAGACTAGTCCTAGATTTACTGTGAGCACCGATTACCTGCTACGGAGATAATAAGCTTAAGCCTCCAAACTCATTTTCGAATGTGATTTAGRATGTCATCAAAGTGCATTCGTCTTGCTGCGTAGCCGAGCTCGCTTAGTTATGTGGGATTTTGCAGCTCCTTCCTCAAGCATTTTTGCAGGGACAGAGGATCAGAGTGAACCTCTGGATTTTAACCCTTTCCCATGTGAGTGACTGCACATCCTCTGGTCTAAGGACTAGATCCTGCAGTTCAGGCTCAGCCTTGAGGCCCAACAGCATTTGTCTTGCTGCAACCAAGAACTATGCTGGCATAAAGCTCCATGTRCAGCTTCTTTTTTAGCCAAACCAGCCTTGCAGCACAGTGATGGGAGCAGTGGTGCCACCACTGCTGTGCTACCCCAGCAGAGCAGCAACTGGGGCTCCACAGGCTCCGTGGAGCAAGCTGCAACACTGGAAGGACAAGTGCAAAGGAAGGACTCGAGTCTGCTTCTGCAAATGGAAAACATGCAGCAAACTTACTAAATGCATCCACTGGAAATGTAAATTGGCCTGCGCTAAGCGTCAGTTTAATGGGAGTGCTTCAGTTACATTTGGATTGTGATGCTTAAAAGCACGATTGAAACAAAGCTGACTTCTTTTTAGAGAAACTGCCTGTAATTTCTGATAAAATATAGACCAGTTTAGTCCAAAAGCATCATTATAGAATTCACAACTAGGAAGACGATAGGAATTTTGCAAAACTTCTCTTGGAAGTACAAAAGGAAAGCTTAAGAAATGAGCCCAGACTTTGCACATTGAAATGCTACAGTTAACAAATCAAACAAAAATAAAGCAGAGAATGTACTGTGGAAAGCTTAAATACATCAAATGAGGAGCATGGAGAAGATCCCTGGATGATCCATGCTAATTTAACACTGTTCATGTACAGAGAGGAACAGAGATATCAGCCTGTTTTGTAAAGCATAGAAATATTTATAGGGCAGAGGAGCATGGAGAAGATCCCTGGATGATCCATGCTAATTTAACACTGTTCATGTACAGAGAGGAACAGAGATATCAGCCTGTTTTGTAAAGCATAGAAATATTTATAGGGCACACCAAGACCCAGTGGACAATTTCTGGTGAGATTCTTGCCTTGGTATTTTGGCCGTGGGTTCAAGTTTTAATGCTGCAATTCTAGCAATTTTGTTTAAGAACTGCATGTGCTGCACTGCCTGAGCATCTGCACGTGCTCCACTTTGTTCATCTGCTGCATAGAAAAAGGGTGGAATAAACTCCACTTTTGCAAAGGGGTTTTCCTCACCCATCAGGAGAACACCCTTTCTCATCCAATAGAGATGGCTGGTTCAGTGCAAAGTAGAGATTTTGGAGTTTCTTGAGGTGAACAGTCCCRGGCGTTTTGTTAAATCTCTATGGGCTCTCTCAGGCAAACACCAAAACACCAATTTTAGAGAAGCATTTAGTGTTGAAGTGACAGGCTGGAATATAAGAATATTGGRTTTACTGGGCTTGAGCAGGTTTCCCATGGCCAAGATAGCTTTCCTGGTATATGAAAGTGAGAACAGAGGACTTATTTCCTTTTCAGAGAGCTGTGATTAGATGTCTAATGACCACTGCCGTCATTCACTGGTCAATCTGCTGCAACAAGGCATTAGTAGAAGAGGAAATCAGGCACCTTTTTTTCTCAGTCTTTGAAGATGAAAATGAACCTACCTCCCCTCTCTTATTCAAGGATTTTGTTGTTGTTGTTGTGTGTGGGTTCCTATTTTTTTATGCCCAAGAGATGAGATGCTATTTGGAAACAGCTGTCTGTGAACGGAAATCTATGTGTGATCAAAGCCTCTGCCAATTACAGAGATATTACTGTTTCTCTTAGGCTTTTGAATAGGAACTTGCTGTTCCTGGCTKTGTCGGTGATGCTCAGGGCAATGCTGCGGTGCCTGACGCTTCCTGGCCTCCGACCCCATTGAGGCAAATTCAGCATGATCAGGTGCTGGAGCATGGCTCACATTATGTTTGATCGTAATAATGTCAGCCCRTAGTTCGTGCGTCTCTGCAATTGCATTCAGGCACTGTAATAGCCCTGGATGGCTTGTGAGAATGCAGGTAAATTCATTCTTTTCAGTAGAGCTTTGTCAAGCTACCTGCTGCTGATTAAGGATGATAGGATTCTGAGGTGGTTGCGTTTATTAAAAAAAAAAAAAAAAAAAAAAAGGCATTATTCATTGGGGATTATAAATAAGAGAATTTGTGATGCTGTGGTTGTTTTTAGCAAGGTGGAATCACATAAGGAAGTAGATCTTGAAGGAGACGGCTCAGAAAGAAATCTGGTGGAAGGTGTTTGTTTTTTTTCTCACCTTCACTTGCAACCAAATCAGTGCACAGGTTGGCTATGGTGAACAGTTATCTTCAACTGTGATTCTCCAGCTGCTCGGATCCATCTGTGCTGATATGCCCTGATGGTCCTGGGGAGGGATCATCCCTTCTATGGCCAGTTCCAAGGAGGATGAAGATCATCCTACAGCTAAGGTCCGTGATGCCTGCGTTTCTCCTGGCTCTCACGTTAAGATCCCTCCTCAACATGTCTYCAGGGGAAGTGGCTCAGTTGGTTGTGTTCACAATAATTCACGAYAGGAGCAAGCTAGAAAAGCCACATTTGCCACCAAAGTTTCCTTGCTTCATCCCTTCTCCTGTAAAAGAGCAGAATTGAAAAAGATGACTTCTTATTGTCACACTCTATGTATTTTGCCTCCTTTTGACTCGCTTCCATAGTTAGGATCTGGCACACTGCAGCTTTAAAGTTTTTCCTCAAAAAAAAAACAGCCTGTGGCTTGTGTTGTGTGAATAATGAAGACACACATCACCCCATTATTAATATAGAAATAGGTGAAATACTCTGTCTTATTTTTAACTTGAACAGCAAGGCCTGGTTCATGTGGGTTTCCCCCATGAGGGTTTTCTCCTTGGTATGTGCATTTAATCTCTGCAGGTGCAGTTCTTAGTGGAAATGCAGCTTGAGCTGGGACTATGCACTTAGCACAAATTTCTCCACCACTTGTGAGTTGAAGTTGCAGGAGGGAAGCGATTCTTAGCCAGCAAAAGCCCAAAGATGCCAATGTTCTGCACCGGGCTCTGCTTTTGCATTGTTAGATGTGCCCTTTCCTCAAGAGCAGTGGTTGCTTGGACGACTGCTGCATTATCCAGCACCTTGATTCCTGCCCGGCTCCGTTGTGTTAATTCACCTGAAGGTATTGCTAGGTTTTTATAAACTTTTCACTATTGTTTATTTTGCAGGCACTACCGGAGGGGCAGACGGCATCCTGGGATACAGCCAAGGAAGACGAAAACCGCAATAAGAATCGATATGGAAACATAATCTCCTGTAGGTGTAAATTCCCATTAAGCTGAGTTTCTTTTATGAGTTTATAAGCAGCTTGCGGGAAAGGGTGTTTTTGAGAACCTCACTGAAACCTGGCGTGTGGTGTCAGGCATTCACTATTTGCTATGGGCTAGTTACTTTTCATGTTTTCTGGTTTGTTTTGCATGTTTTTCTTTTGTTTTACATGACTTTACAGTTATGCATTTACGAGCGCTGCTGGTTTAGGCTGGTGTTTGCAGTTTGAGGGCTAAATCTTTTTGTCAGCTTTCTGCAATGGTTCATGGTGCCTGTTACGTTGCACAGGGATGTCCATGCCTTGAATGGGAGCAGGGCAAGGGATCATGACTCAGAAACAGGGTTTTTTTCTTTGTTCAAGGGCTAGATTAGAGCCCTTGCTGTGTGTCTGCAGAGAGCTGCTTGGTTTTGTGGGGCAAGATTTGTTTCTGCTTCAGAATCGTAGTAAGGCTGTTGAAAATGCAGTAAGTGCTCCTCTGTTTTCCATCAATACATGGTTACAATTGCAGTTTCAGGGACAGTAATTGTAGAATGGCCATTGTAGGGCAGCAAGGACTCCATAAAAACATTTAGGTCAGTCTTATTCTCCAGGTCAGGGCTAGCTCTACCACTGTCTTCTTTATCAGATGTTTGTGAAGCCTCTTGCTGAAGGTCTCAAAGCTGAGCTTTCCACAGACTCTTCAGCAAGTTTATCCCAGTGTGCTGTTGTTCCCCATGATGACTGGGGAGAGGAGGTATAAAATGATCATTTGTAGGGGTTGCTGAGCAGCTGCACATTGGAGAACAAGAAATAGGAACCAAGAAGACAGTTGTTTCATATGCTTACAGAACAGTATAGATCTGTGGAAACCTATTCTAGTAAGAAGATTGTCATGCAATATAATGTATTTAGTACTGCATTTTTCACCTGGGTAAAAATGTATTCCCTATTTAGGTAATATTAGGAATATTTGTGCACCCTTGGGCACGAAGAATGACATGTTTCCTACCTCTGGTCTCTGTTTCTTTTATGTGGAAGAAGTATTTTTCTGTTTTGGGGACCTGGAATGGAGCAAATCAGTTCAGAGAGCTCATCTTAAGGCAAATAATTCTGGGGAAAAAAGGTCAGAAATGTAGCCTCTCTGATTTGATCTCATTTCTTCTGCTGGCTTTCTGAGTTGCTTGCAAGCTGGTCATGAGCACCTTCTTTCTTTGTTTCTTCCTGTGAAAAATGGAACTAATAATACCAGATTATTACAGTTAGCGTGAAAATATGTCCTTCAACTCTCTAAGATCTTGTCCTACGTAGCTGCCTTGATGATTAGCTTAAATTAAGTTAGTCTAAGTGAGATGAATTGTCTATCTAACAGCTACATGTTGTTTTAAAGAAGCAAGTGCTTAGTTTGTTATAAAGAAAAGCATGGGGAAGACTGTTTCTTTGCATGTCTTTGAAGAAGGTGGCATCATCTAAAAGCAGAGGTGAAAAGAGACAAGATTGTGGACAGTAGTTACCATCTAATTCAGGTTGAACATGGTCACAAAAATTGAACTCCAAGAGAAATGCAAGAGAAGGAATTAAGGAAGCCAAAACAAGTGAGATAAACAGGGTATGACCCAGAGGGAAGGTGTTCACGAAGATGAATTGTTGTCTAACAAAGAGTGATGCTTGCCTTTTAGCTATAAATATAAATACTAGGGGAATACAGATAGGAGGAGATGTGCTTGTAAAAGGAAATGCAGAGTGTAATCAAAGCTAAGAAAGAGGTGTCTGAGCAATATAAAGCATGAGAATAGAAGCTCGCGTCAGAGGGCTGTTGGGGAAGATTTCAGAAGGAGGTAGAGAGGGGTGGAAAAGCATAGATAAGGAAAGCAAAGGTTGTGAAAGAGAGGAAGGGTGCATAAGAGTTAAAGTTAAATAACAAAGTTGGATGGGTTTTATTCCCTTCCAATATAGGTGAAATAAAGAGCTTGAGAAGGAGACAGTAGCTCTTCTTAAAGACAGCAAGGCGAATTTAGTAGCGTGTGATAAAGTGAAATGGAAGGAAATCATCTCTTCGCTTGGATGAGACTGGGGAGAAAAGAGACAGGATGCACAAGAAAGAAGGGAAAACATTTAGCAGGTGTTTTGGGAAACTGGTGGGAAACTTGGCAGTGATGCCATGGGCTGTGTTTTGAGCTCAGCCTTACGTTCATGTCTCCCACATGTGGGGCACATCTGACACGGAGCAAGCGCATTTCCATCCAGATAAATGTAGTAGCCCCCTCACACAATTTCCAGATGCAGCCTTGGAACCAACATGAGCCATTTGGTCTTGACAGGAAAGGAATTTGGAATCAGCCATTAAAAGGAATCTGTTACAGCTGACGGATACTGAGAAAGTCATCCACAGTGGATGGACCATGTGCAGGATTTGCAGCACATACCAGAACTTAATGGTGCCACAAATGATTCCAACTGCAATATCTTTTATATTTTTACGCTGGATTTTCTGCTGCTGTGGGAAATAAATAGTTCCCATTTGCTGTGATAATATCAGATGCTTAGAAGGGAGAACAGGGGAGTTCAACGCTTACTGTGGTTTCTCTCCTCTTCCCTTTACCACTGCTACCGATGGACTGAATCGGGCAACTTGCCGGAGTAAAAGCAACAACGGGATCCAGAATAGAGGATATTTAGCAGAGTTGAAAGTAGAAAGCAAGAGACTGGCTCCCTCTGGGCAGATTGTGCAGACAAATTGTACTCAGTGGGTACAAACTGTGCAAAACCTTGAGCAGGGGAGAAAAGGTGGAAAACTGTAATACCCTTAACTTACTGCTTGGTTACGCTAGAACTGTGATGGCTGCAGAAAATAGAGTCTGCCCTGATTACTCTTACCACTTTATTTGGTAAAAGGCTGCTGATGGCGATTAACCTTATTTATTTAACCGCAGTTGCCGTTTCATCACGCCTGGAACAAGAACTTACAAATCCCTTTTGGGGAATGCATTGAGAAGTCAGGTTTTGAGCTAACTTTTGCAGCAGCTTCAGAGAATTGTGGTGCAATGTGGGTTTGTAAGCTCTCGCAGTAAGTAGCGTTGCTCAGTGAATCACGGCAGATTAGATCTTGTCTTTATGCCCTCTTGGGTAGCAGAACACTAACAGGACTGTTTTACTCGGCTCATCGCTTTCCTAATGCTGTATTAACACCATGCCTCTCTATGAAAACCTAGATCTTGCTGCCAACCCCAACATCTGCCATTGCTGCATTTGCAAACCCAAATTGCAAATGAGGCTTAGCTGCTAGTGGAGAGGAGGTGCAGGGAGCTGACGACTCCTCCATGTTGCAAAACTAGATTTCTCAGGGTTCCCCTCACTCTAAAACACTGTTGCTTCTTAGAGAAATGAGATTTGACGACTGGAGCAGTCTTTGTATTCACAGACATTCACTGCTGGTGGTGGTAAGATGTTTTCTTACTGCTGGCTGTAATTGTACAGCTATCCCCGTACTTGATGGAACTGCCTTACTAGTATTTCTTGCTGTATTGGTCCATCATCGCTGCTCCTGGACTCTGGGCATAAAAAATGGCAAACACCATGCAGTTGTGGAGATGCAGGGTCTTTCTTTGGAGACAGGTTTGGGTTATGTAGTGGATGCATTCATGTAATGAAGCTAAATTACATTTGCATTAAAGCTAAGATACGTTTGCTTTAGGAGCTGGATTTTAAGGCCTTCAAAACACATTGGTGAGCCTTTGCTAGGAGAAGGACATTGCGCTTGTGGCCCTGGGTGGTCCCTCAAGTTATTTGGGATATTTGGTGTACAATTGTACCACATTTCTCACTATCTTCTCTAAATGTGGAGCCATTGCATGTAAGCCTGAAAGCTGTCAACTGAGAGCTGAGTCAACAGGGGCATTGAACTTTGTTTTGACTTACAGGAAAGCATTTGACTTTGTGTTGTCCTGTTGGTGAATACAGGAGGGGCTCAGCTCAACTCCTACAAGGGTGGCAGGGCTGGTGCTTCATGAGACACAAATCTCCCATCCACAGTGGAGCACAGCCAACTTCCCAGTTATGCCATGATTTTAAAGTCATGTAATGGTCCATTTAAAAAATACTGCGTTGATGACAAAGGACAATAGAGAAACTTCATTTTCTTCATGCTCTAACAAGTGCTTTTGGTTGGAAGATTGAGAATCTCAGAATTCTGTTGTGGAAGAGACAGATTTCAGAGATTCCTGGAGGTCTAGGCTGAAACGCCAGTTCAAGGTGCTCCTCGTCCACAGAGAGGGATAATGTGTGAAAAAACGAAAAAAAGATGGCAGAGTGGGATTGAGATTAAAACTAAAATTAAATCTTAGTTTCTCTTCCAAGCATTCTCACTTCATAGGGTTTTTTTTTGTGTAGTTCCTTGACCCTTGCATCATCCTAGGAGGGTGGGTTTATCACACCTAGTTGTTGCTTGGTTCTTAAGGCATCGTTGAGGGCAGAGAGGGGAGGACAGTRTCCCTGGGAGGGCATCTCGTCCTTTCCCACCACAGCTACCTTGGTATMTGCGATTTCAGGTATCTGTTTCTCCACCGTGGATGATGCAGGGAGCCTTCCCAGCCAGTCTAGACCAACTGCATAATGTTTCGGTGGCTGAAGTTGTGGGGGATGAATCCAGAGCTGGTGTCGGGATGAGATGGGGCGAAATTGCCCTGAAATTTCAAATGATCACTAATGGGAATTTTGACAGAAGTTTGAAACAATAATATTTTTGTGCTAAAATGGGAGTGCGATGCTTTTCAATGAGATTCCTGTCATTTTTGAAATCTTGTTTTAAGACCAATTTTTGTCAAAGTACTCTTCCTTTGCATAGAAATTTAGTTTTGCTAACTTGCATATGGGCTATAGTAAATAGGGAGAAATAAAATAATACAAAAGTTTACTTTTCATTTTTCTACATTCCTAGCTTGCATATTGAGTATGATAAGTAGGGGGAAATATAATATAAAAATTTGTTTTCCATTTCTATACGCTTCTGACTGTTACAGACATGAATTTTCTGTTTTCCTGCATATTTTTTAAGCAGTTTCTCATCATCCATCTGTAATGCATGGTGATTTTGTGAGGTCTAATGAATTTTGAAATGAGTTGAACGACACTTTCCTTTCGGTGCACCAAAAATGTAGTCTCCTTGGGAAGCTGAGTCCACTGGAAAGTGTGCAGAATCAGGAATACTTTCTAAGCAGTGGGAGGAGATGTAATGATGATATTTGCTGTTCTTTGAAAAAGCCCTTTGAAATCTAAAGATGAAAAAAAATGTGAATTAGTAAAAGTTTTCTCCCTCAACCATTAGCTCTGGGGATTTTTTTTTTGACTTTCTTTTGTTCAGCATGATGCTTAACTACCACGGTTTCCAGCCTTGAATTGCAAGTGTGAAATTACGTACAGGAGCTTTTGTGTATTTCCTATATGTCCAGTTTAATCAGCTCTTTGTCTTTGAGAATTGCTCTTAGTATAATTCTGTTGTTGTCTCTCTCCTGCCTGATTGACTCAAGTTCCTGGTACGATTGCCTTGGGCACAGGTGAGCAGCTCGAGCTGGGAACAAGATCAGTGCTTTGAGTAGCACACCCACTCTCAGTGCATTTGCAAGAGTTGCATTTATTAATACAAACATAGTGGAACCTGTGGTGGATTCACCTGTGTAATCATTTTTGCATTCAAACGTGKCATTTGTTAACAGCACCCATGTGGTGGTAATCTTTCGGTGTGAAAATCCCACCCAGAGAATGAACAGAGTATGAAAATCATTGTTTTACGTGAGCAAAGGAATATTCAATACATTCAAATACTGGTTTTGAGAACTGTGTGCACATTTGGCCTTCACAATTGTGTGATTATGCGTTTTGTTTAAGTCATTATTAAAACCTTTCCTGACTTAGGGCAGAATCAGCCCTCACATTTTTTCTGTTTCACTGCTGTGATTCTTTTTAACTGAATGTAGATGGTGCTCGGGTCCATATTTGATGAAGTGCTTCTAAACATTAATGTTTGACTCCCTGGGAGCTGCGTTCTACATAACCAGCAGAAAGAGTAAAATTGAAATCAATGAAATCTGTGTTACAGTTCTGGAAAAAAAAATAAATCCTTTAAGAAAGAAGCCAGAGTGTCTAGCCCTGCCCTGTGTCAGCCAAGCAATTGCTCCTTAGCTGATGGTTGTGCAAATACCAGTGCTGGAATTTTAGGACCAAGTTGGATTTCCAGTGCAGCTGCCTTTGATAGACCCCAGCACAAGCTGTGCCAGGGACAGATCAAAATATTCCCTTGGTGGAAAATTATGCTATAATCTGCCCYGAGGTAGTTTCTTTCTGGGTCTGAGCATACTGGGAGATGAAAAGATTGGTATCTGTAATTTTGTTGCCTTATCTAAAGTAACTTTGAAARTCCTCAAAAACTTGAACTTTAGTATTTTTTTTCATGTGCCTCAGTGCCATTTTGCTGCAGCAAATTTTGTGCATTGTATAAAATAACGTTGCTTTGATTTGGTTTGGTGTTTCCTTTAATTTKGGGGGGGATTGCTGCAGTTGGTATTTGCAGGATTTTATTTGCCATTTTATCCTATTTAATCTTTCATCTGCGACCTGCTTAGCCTGATCTTGACTGTTGAGCTTTTGTCTCAGTTTTCTTAGTTCTGAGCAAGCCAGGGCAGTGGTTATTTCCAGGTGTGACTCTGCCTTTTGTGCTGGAGATACTTCCCTGAGAGATCTGTCCTGACACTTCCTAACCAAGCAATATTTGTGAGCTAAGTAAAGCTGTTACAGTGACAGCAGTGTATAATTAACATTGAATATAAGTAAACAGTTACCTAACGGTCTAAACATGACATCTCAATCCAAAAGGAGGATCAGGTAGTAGGAATAGTTTTGATGATCTCATTTAATTACAAACAATTAACCACCTGCAAGAAAGATCAAATAAGGTGCCTGCAGAATCCTTTCTGTCGTTACTGTTAGTATTTGTCTTTCCTTCTTTCAGATGATCACTCAAGGGTGCGATTGCAGCTGCTGGACGGGGACCCTCATTCTGACTACATAAACGCCAACTACATAGACGTAAGGCTCGGGGACGTTCCCTTTGTGGCAAAGACTCCTGCTGATGAGACCATTTATGGATTTGGGACCTTTTAGATAGGGACTGACTGTTGATCTAATGCAAATGACAGACAAATGTTACTCAAACACCCTGTTGTGACAGGGGGAGAAGGTTCATGCTCTCTAGTTTATTCTTTCTAACTCATCTAGATACCTGGAGATTTCYGATGCTTGGCAGGTCCACAAACATAAGTGGGGTGTGGGATAAATGCACATCGGATGTGGGAATCACGCAATGACATCAATAGATATCRGAGATTTATTGGTTGCATACAGAGGTGCAGTGCTGTAGGCGTGTAAGGGGAGTGGTATATACTTTTTTCCATATGTTGCAAAATAACAGTGAAAAAGCTTTCCTAATACATGCAGGGTGGTCAAGAGAACATGGGTTACGTTGAGCACGTTTCCTAGTGCTGTGCAACATAACATCATTCTGAAGAGCTGCTTTAATGAGGGAAGCTGAGAAATGCACTTAATAAAGCTGCATTGACATTCATCGTTTTCAAATGCTCAGCTTGCCTGGTTTTCAAATGAGCTGGTGCAAGTTTTTGCATGTTCATTTTCGGAGTTCCCCAGAGAGTAGTTGTGGGACTTTGAGGGAACAATGAAAACTTCTTCATTTCTGTTTTYTCTTGGTGTGGTGAAATGTTCCAGTTCTTGAGAAGGGCAGGTTTAAATATTCAGCCTAAGTGTGAGATACCATCACTTATAATCCCAAAGGGTCATGCAGGTGTTTATCTTCACCTCCTCAGTTGCTGGTGTTAGTACACCGTGAAGTGTGCAACAGTTATTGGAAGGTGTAAGATGATTCCTCTTGTGCTTTYTCTCAACTGTGATCTTGCAAACCTTCACACATTTTCACATATTTTCTTTTTTTTGCAGGGATACCACCGGCCTCGTCACTACATTGCAACTCAAGGCAAGTTCATTCTTGTATGTCTAAGTACTCGTTAAAACAACTGCTGTTTTAAACAGATAAAAGAGCAGTTCCCTTCCATGGTAGCTTCTGTTCTGGGGACTGTCAGAAAACTTAGACCGATATAGGGATATTGGAAGGATGTAGGATGTTCCAAGGGATYTAAAGCAGTTGAACATAAAACATCACAACATTACAAGATATTTCTTACACTCGGATACACTATTTTCCTCCATCATGAGGCAAACTTATGTCATGAACCCTTCTCCTGCCAATGTTTGTGCTCACCCTGATGCGCTCCTTCCCCCCAAGCATGACTTTCACATAAATGGCCATGCTCAAATTCTGTTTCGTGATGTCCCCTCTGCCCTGACTCTGGAGTCAGGGGATACAAAGGTGCAGGCGATATAGTGGGACAAAGTACAGGGAAGATGGAGCATGAGCAGAAGGGGAGGAGGGATCCGTGGCATGATTTTTGTCTATGGTGGAGAAGAGAGGAAGGAAACAAGGTCAGAGAGAAGCTCTAGTCTGAAAAACTGCCTGTGAGCACAGACTGTTTGGCTGTTGGAGCCCGAAAACTTTCTCTCTGGGGGAACTTCAAAAACAGGCTCTTTCCTGCATGTTTCCTCTGCCAGAATTTGCAAATATTCAAGTGTGAAATGGAGGAATTTTAGGCCTTCATCAAGCAGAAATCTCAGCAGAGCCCTAATTAGAGTCTCAAGGGTGCATCCATGTCCTGTCACTCGTACAAGATTACCGACTGGGGCCATCTCCAGTATTTATGATGCMGCCAGCGTCTCTGTTTCCAGCATGCCAGAACCCTAAAATCCCCGTGCCAGGAAGGGTGAGACGTCTCATTCCTTGGGGAGCTCAGTGCTTTTCCCCTTTGCACCCCTGAAGCACAGAGCGATGCTTGGAAGGAAGGAGTGGGGACATCATGACAACAGAGCAATGGGCAGAGAACAGGAGCAGGTTGCTGGCACTCGATGCTCTCTCTCAACACGTTCTTTGGTCTTTTCTTCTGGCCCAGGGCCGATGCAGGAGACGGTGAAGGATTTCTGGAGAATGATTTGGCAAGAGAACTCGGCRAGCGTTGTCATGGTCACCAACCTAGTGGAAGTGGGCAGGGTAAGGATGCCGTTTTCCCAACAGGTAAAGCCAGACCAGTGCGGGGCATGTTCCAGGCATGCGCAGGGAGGGAAACACCCCTTGTTTGCTGTGGTTTGAGGAGCCAGGGAATGAACGAGGCCACTCGGGTTCTTCTGTGAAATGCTGGATTTTGCAATGCTTGGCTGCTTCCCTACCAGACTAATAAAGATCTTGTTCCTGCTGTAAATCTGGACTTCAGTAGAGTGATACACATTTATGCTAGCTGAGGAGCTGTTTCTTTTTTCACTACACTGGGAAAAATGTACTCCTGTAATCATTATTCTTTACCTGTATAATTTTACTGTGTCTCTACCCAGCAGAGGGTATGTGCAAGGGCATGTGACTTGTATTGAACCTGATCAAAGGGCTCCTTAGATGGCACTTCAAAGCCTAGAGCTGCTGGAAGTTTGAGCATCTCTATCCCAGGGTAGTGTGGGACCACGTGCAGCTGGTACCCAGGGCCACCCAGCAGCATTGGCCTCCCCAGCACCCACAACTTCACTGTGATTCAGGTGAACCAGAAGCCAAGAGCAGTCACCCAGGATGGGAGCAGACATGAGCAATGCAAGAGGTATAGACCCACCACCACCAAACTAATAAGAAAAAGCACTTCTCCCAGCATATTCTCCTTACTTCCGGTTGTCCTCAGAGTAGAAACATTCTCAGACAGAGACAAGAGGGCTTTGAAATTTTGCCATGGCGTTTGTCACCTCCCATTGCTTTGGTATGAAGACAAATTGTGGTGATGAGTTACATGCAACCGTTGGTGATTCAGCAGTTTTGTATGTGTTTACYTCTAAATCTCATTTGAATGCCACATGGTCGTTTGATTTATTGTTATTTATTCTATATATTTTATCTTCGATTGACACTCCTCTAAATAGAATTTAGGTTAATCATTGTTTTTATATTTATTAAAACCTTTCTGATTAAGGGATTGGTGTATGAAGCCAGCCTTTAAGTCACTAATTAGCTTAGCTTTTTGGTGCCGTTCCTGGTTTTTATGCTACAACAATTACTAACTTCATAGTTTTTATGAACTTAAACAGCCCTTCTTGAGCTTCACAGCTCTGACTTGAATTTCTGATCTTAGTTTTGCACATGCCTGCAAGTAGCTAAGCTTGGGGTGTATTTATATGATAGGAGATTTTTTTTTCTTGAGCCTCAGCTCAGACRTGTCACAGCTGGTAAAATGTCAAATTTGTGTCGATATCTGATAAGGAAAGCTTAGAGTCAAACAAATGTAGCGTATCAATGAGTGTCACACATTTCCTGTGAACTGAAATTCTGCAGCAAAACAGAGCTGGGAATTACAGKAGCATTAGAAAAAATGTTGATTTTAGTCAGAAGGATGGTGCTGGTGGCTGCCAGGTGTTCTGTGAATGTGATATATGTCTATTATATTCTGTAAGCCTGATATAAACCTTGTCTATATATACGTGTGTTTGTGTGTATGTGTGTGTGTGTGTATATATATATATATATAAGGCAATTTAGGAAGACAGGATCAAAGAAGGAAAGCTAAATAAATTATTTACATTGCTGTTCACTACAGAGGAAACTGAATAAATGTCATGCCTGTAGTTTCTGTCTATGGCAGAGAAGTTTAGAGCTCACTTACGCTATATTTTTACAGGGTCTGAACATCAGGGGAAAGGCCAATTTGTGTTGAGCTTCAGCTTGAGAKTGGAATAAAGTGTAGGCCAGCGCTGACTAAGCTTGAACTATTTTCTCTCAATATTTTCTTTGTGTCCCCAGGTAAAATGTGTTCGGTACTGGCCGGATGACACAGAAGTGTATGGAGATATTAAAGTCACATTAATTGAGACAGAACCACTGGCAGAGTATGTCATACGCACATTTACTGTACAAAAGGTAAGGAAATCTCTAGTCAGCTGAACTCCTGATTCARCATTTCATTTGTCAGCAACTTGTCCTCTTGGAGAAGCTGACAATGTTTGGATAGGTTTTAGTCCAGAAACTAAAGCTTCTAGTTCTGGACAAGTGATTTTGCATGAACATCTAGATGTGGGCACAGAGATAGAATCCATAGTGCATAAAGTCCCAATGCATCCAGAAGGCAGCAGGTAGTTGACAACATGCCATGGATAATAACTCCTGTTTCATTGTATCATGAAATTGGAAGTCTAAATGTTTCATTGAAATTGGAAGTCTAAATGACAGAGTGTTCCAGGTCTGTCCAAATCAAAGTGCAAACATTCAGGGAGTTGTTTTAAAACTTTTCAGAAATGGTCATTGAGCAAATTTCAGCTGAGCAACACTGGGAATATTGTTCCAGTTGTCTAATGCACCACCTCTGTGTTTCGTTAAGCCACTGAGAAGCTTGATAAGAAATGCCAATGTCAAGGACGAGTTGATATCAAAGTGGCAAGACTCACCTAGTCTCCCCCAGCACTGGATTCCACGTACATTTCCTATATGATAAAATGCTGTAGCTAACTGGCATCTCTTTGTTACCGCTTATGTGGCAGATGCCCACAGTCTAGCAATAACCTGGTCTCACCAGAAAGACCAGGAGATGGGTCGGGGTACCGSTTTTGGCCTATTTCACCACTTGCTGCAATTACAAAATGAGACTTTTTTTTTTTTGGACAGCAGGTATCTAGTCTTGCCTGAGACATACCTACTCTGTAGGTTTTAATTCCCCAGTTTGTTGCTTGAGCACCTTTCAATTAACATTAATATTCATTCCATTGAGAAGGATTTGAAAGAGTGACTTGGTGGTTTTGAAAATGTCACCAAAGGAGGCTGTGAATAAGTGTTCAGCCCTGCTATGCTGGGACTAAGGTCACCTTCAAAAGTCCCTAATCGGCTGGTACTGAACTTGAGGAGAAGGTAGACTAGGGTGCTGGCKTGCACCTAGCCGGTCCTCCGCTGCTTGTTACCCACTTCATTTGTAATTGGAGACACCCCCTCTTGCTCCTTGAAGTCTCAGAGTGAAAAGCAGTGTATGGCACGTCCCTGCACATAATTAGATCTAAATGTGCCCTCAGCACGAGGGCTAGGGAGCAGGATAGGCTGGTTGCAGCCTGACGGAGGGAAAAGAGCGGCTGCTTTCTCTCCTCAGAAAGGCTACCACGAGATCCGAGAGATCCGGCAGTTCCACTTCACCAGCTGGCCGGACCACGGCGTTCCCTGCTACGCYACGGGCCTCCTGGGCTTCGTTCGGCAGGTGAAGTTCCTCAACCCTCCAGAAGCAGGGCCCATCGTTGTGCACTGCAGGTACGCAAGAGGTTGACCTTTCCTTTCGCTCCATCACCTTTTTTCAGGGTTTTATTTCCTTCCTGTGTGTAGGAGAGTGTCCCTGACCTGGAGAACTCATGCAGTGCAACCAGACACGGTAGCAATGGGAGAGCAGAGATGCGCACGGGCCGGCGTCAGGGCCGGGACGGGAGCACAGGCCTCCTGACTGGGGTTGTCCTAGTAATTACCAGGTTTCTGCACCAATTTGCAGCAGAAGAAAACTTTGGGGGTGGGATTATGTTGGATTGGACCAGGGGATTACATGATCTATTTTGGGGATGATATACTGATGCTAACAGGCCTCAGGAAAAAGGCTAGTGAGTGTTGTACGTGCAAAAMCACCCTTTTCACAGCTTCACAGTGAAAACAGTGGCACTTGTAGCCCACCAGTGAAGTATTGCTCAGTATTACTTATGAAATATATACTCAGCTTATTATTTTATGGCCTCAAAAGCCAAGAAAGGCATTGCTACCAAAGCAGAGTTTGAGTTTGTCGCAGCTATTTCTGCCATGCTGAGCCCACAGCCAAGTGCACCAGTCCTGTAGAGGAGATAGGGGTGCAGCATGAGCCTCCACAGCAGAGCCTGTCCCAAAATCTCACCCCATGTCAGTCCACTGGGATTTCCAGGCTGTGGGATCAAGAGGGAAGAGAGAATACATCCCTAAACGACTTCAAAAAGGAAAATCTAGTAAATTCTTTTTTCTCTCTTTTTATAACTTTTTTTTTTATTACAGTCTATTTTTTCCAGCAAGCAGTGAATTCAGATTTATAATAAAATACACCTAAGCCTCGGGAGCTGGCAGGAGGGAGTTCTTCCACAGCTTAGGGCTTGAATTTGCTTCCTTGGAGCTGTGACATGGGTCTGGCCTTGGAAAGATTCATTGTCACCAAGAAAGCAAGAGGAAATTTTTTATCCTTCACATTTTAATGAATAAATGCCATTTCCTCTCTGTTATTTATCTGCTTTCGAATTTTAATGACTTGCTTTAAGTAGTAATTACCAAATTCTCCCTACCGATGCCTTGCTGGATAATGCTACTGTTCGATATTTATGAAGTGCCAGGGTCCTCTAAATATAGAAATGTTATAACTATTTGTTAAAATTCTGAAAAGCTGAGAGATAAAGGGAGAGGAAATGCTGCTTATTCATTAAAATTCTGCAAATGAAAAATATCTTCTCTCTATTCAGCGGTTGATTAATCTGGCCCATTAATTTATGGTCATTCATATCTCTTTGCTTTCAGCTCTGCTCGAGTTTCATGCTACTGAAGTTTCCCTGATTCCAGGGAAGTTTTCCTTCTTCCTCCTCCTTCCCCCATAGTGGTGTGAGGGCTTCCTCCTCCCTCTGTCCTTCCCACCTGGATGATTTCCTGGGAGGGAAAGGGGAAGCAGTGACAGCACRGTGGGACACACTGGCAGCAGGTGTAGGAGATGGGCCCGGGTCTCACAAGCAGCAGGGGGTTCTGAAATGAAGGTTTTTAGTAGTCCTGAGTTCCTTGATCTACTGTTTTAAAACCTTTGCCTTGAAATCACCCTGTTCTGRCCCGGAAGCTCTCTGATATAAAAAGGAAAGGATTGTTGGAGGCAGAGGACTAAACATCTTTCTTCATGCCCACCTGGGTGAGTGTGTGCAYTTTCCAAAAAGCCCATGGAAAAAAAAGAAAGAAAAATTAAAAAGCTCTTTTTTGGAATTGCATCTATTTGTTGCCTGGAGGCCACAGTGCCGTATCCTTTACACTGGCAGATGTGCAGCTGAACAGCCCTGTAAAATCATGATGACTCTTCTTTGAACAATTTGTCTGTAAATGCTCAAGAAAAAAGAAATAGTTTTCTTTCCTTTTTTCTTTGTTTGTTTGTTTTCTCCTGCTGCTTGGCTCTTTTCCACCTTGAAGAAAATTTTCACGTCCTTCTCTCAAATCCACATCTGATTTAACCACACACAAAACCCAAACCTGTTGGAGAGAGAAAAGCAGCTTCCAAAGAAGACAACTGTGTCGGTGCTCCAGCCATTTTCATTTCCTCCAAGCCCTCCCACTACGCAGTGATTTAATTTTTTATTTTTTTTTTTTTTTTTTTTTTTTTTTTTTTTTTTTTTTTTTTTTTTTTTTTTTTTTTTTTTTTTTGTCTTTTTCAGTGCCGGGGCTGGGAGAACAGGGTGTTTTATTGCCATCGACATCATGCTTGACATGGCGGAGAACGAAGGGGTGGTCGATATATTTAACTGCGTGCGAGAGCTGCGCTCCCAAAGGGTCAATTTGGTGCAGACAGAGGTAGGTGCCAGCCCTTCTGCTCTTACGGTGTTCAGCTTCCCTGCAGCTCCTCGGGAGCCCGGCAGCTCATTAAGGCCAGGTTTGCTGCCTCTGTGCCGTGCTTATATGGGACCCTCTCTGTCTGACCATGGCCCGTGTCCCCTGGGTGACGTTCGGTGGCATCTCCTGCCTTCCTCCGAGGCAGGAAAGCAAATCGTGAAGTTTAGGCCTTGGCAAGGCTGTTTAATTTGGTTCTCACTTTGTATAAAGCCTCATTGGTGAATCCTTTTCCTGCCTTGTTTGTATGTRTATTGTAAACTTGGGCAGTACCTGCTTTATATTGATGACAATATAAGAAATGAGTGAAACATCCTCAGTTTCTGCTTTAAGGCAGAAGTTTTATCTTACCTTTAAGGTAAAGTTAAGCAAGCTGCTCCATCCCATATTTTTTGTAGCTGCACAGGCTTCCAAGGAGCTGCTGTCATACTACAGAAGYGTTGTAGCAGGTGCCTTAATTCCCAAGGGTCAAGTCAATGGTCATCATCAGAAAAGTGCTTTATACAGAAAATCAAGCATCTCCACAGGTCATAGAATTATGGAATCCKTAAGGTTGGAAGGGACCTCTAGAGATCACCTAGTCCAACCCTGCTACACACACAGGGTCACCTAGAGCACGTGGCACAGGGCTGCATCCAAGCAGGTTTTTGAAGATCTCCAGAGCAGGAGACTCCACAACCTCTCTGGGCAGCCTGTGCCAGGGCTCTGGCACCCTCACTGTCTAGAAATGTTTCCTTAAGYTCCTGGGGAACTTTTGGTGCCTCAGCTTGTGGCCGTTTCCTCTAGTCCTGTCACTGGCCACCACTGAAAAGAGGCTGCCCCCTCCTCCTCACTGCCTCCCTTGAGGTGTTTACAGACACTGATCAGGTCCCCCCTCAGCCTCCTCTTCTCCAGGCTGAACAGACCCAGCTCCCTCAGCCTTTGCTCAYAGGGCAGATGTTCCAGGCCCCTGATCATCCTGGTAGCCCTGCGCTGGACTCTCTCYAGCAGCTCCACATCCCTCTTGTCCTGGGCAGCCCAGAACTGGACACAGTCTCCAGATGTGGCCTCAGCAGGGCTGTGTAGAGGGGAACAATCACCTCCTTTGACCTGCTGGAGACAATTTTCCTAATGCACCTCAGGACYCCAGTGGCCTTCTTGGCATGAGGGCACTGCAATTAGACCACAATTAGATCAATGGAGAAGACCTGCTAGCAGCATTGGCAGCGTCGCAGGTGTTACAACACCCAACAAAGGGAGCATTGTCTCGTGCTTGTGGACACAAGTTGTCCCGGGCCATTTTCCTCCTCAGCCCATCCCCATTTTGTCCCAGCATCCAGAAATCGTTGACTTCACATGGTGCTTTTAAATGGGAAAGGCATACGGGGCTTCATGTTCAGTGATGGATGAAATACGCTCCGAAAGCTGCCACGCAGCACGCTGTGTAATTTGCACATGAAACAGAGCCAGATATGCATAGCGGGCACGAAGGAGAAGGACAACGTAGATTATTTAACTCGACTGTGCTGTTGCATGATCTGTGTTGAAAATATGGTTTTCGTGTCTTGTCCCCGGCGCTGTGCAGGAGCAGTACGTGTTTGTCCACGATGCCATTTTGGAGGCATGTCTCTGTGGCAACACAGCCATTCCAGTCTGCGAGTTCAGATCCATATATTACAACATCAGCAGGCTAGATCCGCAGACCAATTCCAGCCAGATAAAAGATGAATTTCAGGTAATTTCTTCCGCCTGTCGCGGTCGTTGCAGTTGGTGTATTAAATGTGTGTTTAATCAATTTCTTCTCATTATTTGGCAATTTCCAACAGAGCGGAGCAGGGGGACGCTGAGCCGGGGGCTGATTGCAGGTGATTTTTGTTGGGTTGTTGCTGGATCGGGTCGAGGTTCGTGTTTGAGCGTAGACTTTTCAGCCTTCAGCAAAGAAAAATTTCCCTGTCTCTTTGACAGAGCAAGGATATTAATTTTTCGCAGATAACATTAGACTTTCTCATTTCGACAAATATATTGTTCATTTGTTTCTGTAATATATGCAGAAACATTTGTGCCTGAAGGTCCCTTATTAACTGGCTCCCAGCTTTTGGGCTGTTCCCGTGTCCCGACTAGTCATTCAACTTGCTAACGTCCTTTCCTACAAACGAGCAAGGGAGCAGCCCACACTGCTTCTTCTGGTGCTAGTTTTCAACAGACTGCAACCCTTAGAGTACTGTGCACTTCACAAGTACCTGATGGCCAGAACTAAACATCCTAAAATTCACAACTAGAGGAGTTGTGCAACTTGAGTGGATCAAGCAATGAAATGGGGGCTACTCAGGATTTTGCTAACACCAGGGTTCATCTTATCCTACTAAAGCAAGGCTTAGGACCATGAGCCACTTGTAACCCTTGCCTAGGAGAGAACTGTCCCTCCAGAGCAGGGAACTGAACTTGTCACTCTCATTCCTGAGCTATTTATAAAGTCTGTCAGGAGTTTTAATCTACTCCAGTGTGTGGGTGTAAAAACATAATAATGTGTCAAACTTGGAGCAAGGTGAGTTGGACTGTAAGGAGAGAGAAACCCATTTTTTAAGGCTGCTCTAAGTCAGAGGTGAAAAGGTGGAGAACTCTCTAGCCGTAGATGTTCTTCATCCACCAGCCAAGTGTCTTCTGCAGCAGTAGGTGACTCCTAGCAGCCCTGGTGTAGGTCAGATGCCACTGCCGCTTCACAGCTTTTCCTCCCTCTCTCCACAAAGGGATGATTTGTTTTTTTATTTGAAGCCTTACAGACAAACATCGGGGTTAGTACAGTGAGATAAAAATTGTGGATCCCAGCTGATGGCAGCTCAAGTGAAAAATCAGGTTTTATCCACTGATATCAGATCTGTGAAAGTGTTTCTGGTTCGGGATGCCTGGCGTGAAGGAACCAAAGCCTAACTTTATCAAATGCTATTATGCTATTAAAAAAAAAAAAAAAAAAGACACCGCTCGCTGTGCTTATTTTGTCATGATACAAGACAAGATTTGTCACTTGTGTGCCTGTTCCTTTGAGCTGCTAGGGGCTGGCGGCTCCTATGGGAAGGAAAAGCTCCTCTGTACTTTGCATAAGAGATTTGTTCTCCGTCTCRTAGAATGCCATTTTTACAGGATTTTAGCTTAGAGCATTCCCCAGCCCAAAATACCTGGATTCAATGCAGCAAACGTTATCTCTTGCTACAGTATTTGTGAACTGGTTGATCTAAGTGTAGATCTGTTTGTAATCTGTATTGTGCTGCTCCCACCGGTGCTCAGGTAGGGCTGGGTGGTTTTCTGGCATAGTGCACATTGCACAAACACACAGCTCTGCTCAGGAGGGCTTGCACAAGAACAAGGGCGAGAGCACATGGAGCAGAGGGGCAAATCGCCAGCCTGGCACCTGCCTCCTCATTTGCCCTGTCAGAGGTTTAGAATCATTATTATTATTATTTGCGATTTCTCTGCCAGGCTGTCCACTGCCCATTAGTGCACAAAGGGACCTCTACGTGCAACCTGCATAAAACAGAGCAGCAAGATTATTTCAAGTTTTATACTTCATGCATTATTGAGTATTAGATTTTGACCTTCCTCATTTTTCCATTGCTGACATTTCTGTGGCGGAAATCYAGCTCTATGTGAGAAGTTTTGCCCGCCAAATTTTCACTTGTTCATCTGATGGCTCTAGGTGAATTCACCTTATTCAGAGAAGGGCACGTGGGAAGTACAAGTAGGATGATATCAAATCGCTCCTGGTCTACCAAGACTTGAGACAGTGTGGAGATGCATTCCCTTTGATTTGTTGTTTCTGACCCCTGCTAAGCTCCATGGACTGGTTTGTCAACAGACCCCCACAGTGATTAACACAAAATAAAACTAGATTTAAAGCAATACCTTCCATCGTGCCATGGGAAAGACAAAAAAGGGTGAAAGACTGACAGCCTGACCCCCCAGATGTGGTATGACTAGGTAAGGGAGGTATCCAAAGCATCTCTACAGAGGAAAAGCAGCAATCTAAATAACATACAACAGCTTTACTTATTTCTGTTTTTTAGTCAGAAAAAGAAAAGAAACCATTTATATATTTATATATATAAACATAAATTTATTATTTAAAACTTTTTATAATTATATATATATTTTAAACATATATATTTATCTAATTAAGATAAAAACAGAGTTTGAACCAGGCCTTGCCTACTGGGTAAGTCAGGTCAATTCTCACCATACTTGTGCAGAGGATCCCACCAAGGGGAGAGAAAGATGTCTGTGCCACCCTAGAGGTGGTATAAACACAAGGAGGTTTTGCTCCGTGCTGGAGTCAAAGCTGCAATTTGTAGCTGTGACAGCTATTTCCTATCTCTGGGAAGGAGCAGAAACATGTTATCTAACTGCTGGGGGATTTTAGAGCTGGGAATTGTTAAAGCTTCTGTAGATTAAATCCCTATGGGAAAAAGAAAAAATCTTAGAAGTATTTAGTGCTCTCAATTTGTGCTAGACTTAGAGTGTATGGAAGTGCTCTGCGGGAGCACGTGCAGAACTTCWATATTGGAACAGCCACAAGCTCTTGAGTGTTTATTCATTTTCACAGTCTGTGGAATAAAGCTATTCTAGCTTTAAATCACATTGTGTAGAGGACCTCCCTTTTAGATATAAATTCAGAGACATTCAGTGTGCAACTGTCTGTCCCTGCCCGTTTTGCAGACTCTCAATATCGTGACGCCGCGTGTTCGCCCAGAAGACTGCAGCATCGGGCTTTTGCCCAGGAACCACGACAAGAACCGCTGCATGGACGTGCTGCCCTTGGACCGGTGCCTGCCTTTCCTCATCTCTGTGGACGGCGAATCGAGTAACTACATCAATGCTGCGCTCATGGATGTAAGCAGCACTGGAGAGGCCGCACGCTAGTTTGTGTTGAGTTTGTGTTGAGTTTGTGTTGAGTTTGTGTTGAGTTTGTGTTGAGTTTGTGTTGAGTTTGTGTTGAGTTTGTGT